ATTTCAACAAATGAATACATCAGCGGGCGCGAGAGCGCGCGCATAGATCCTGTACTTTATATAGTCAACATGGTATTCAACTGATAATTTTTTATAATTTCACTGGTAATTTTTCATATATGAAAAACAAAAGATTTCCTGTTCGAGTGAACCCCTCGTTGGAACTGACCGATAGATTTTGTCTCATAGTGCAATTCTCTTGGCCGAAATTTGGATGGGAAAATTCTCTTCCGAGTACCACTCGAGCTTCAAAATTAATCAGATATTTCCCTCAAGGTTCCCTGCATACAAACGAACTCGTAAAGTTTTTCAGGAGAAATTACTCGTGCTTCGCCCTCGTAATTCTTTAACGAATCTATTCATTTATTTAAGGCTTCAGGCAGACGCCCGTCGAAGCCTACAAAACAGTACGAGTAAGGGAGAGTGGAGCAAAATGAAACAGTCGAAAAACGCCTGTTTGACGCAATTCAAACAAAAATTTTTTTTTCAATTAACATTTACTTATTAATTTTTTTCATTGGGAAATTAGAATTGGGAAATTAAACTTTCCCGAGCTGATAAAAGTTGTTTGCAACGAACCAACCGGGAAATACCTGATAATTTTGAAGCTCTTGTGATATTACATACGAAAACACTGTGAATACTAACGAATTTCCGTCAGTTCACGCGACAATTCAACTTAATAAATCCCTTGATGGAATTTGGGGCAAGAATCAAGGCTACCCTCGTCAGCTCGAAATTCCATTTAAATTAAAAGGCAAAATAAAGGATTAAAAAAACGCCCAGTGCTTGAAATAACTGAGTTTCTGTGCGGAAACGAGATTTCCGGAGTTGAGAAGAAGAATTTCCGTGATAGCATGACAAGCACGTGGCGAAGAGGAACTGAAACTCTAGACTAGCTCATGAAACTTTATAATAAACCGTAAAAATCCAATCCACAATTCACGGCATAACGTTAAGATCCTCTTCACGTTTTCACCTTGGGATTTATTTCTTCGTTTCTGCAATAACTTGATATCTCGAGGTCGTTTAACTCATCCGTTCAAATCACGTGTTTTTGTTGTCACTTTATCCGGAGAAGAATCACTAGACCAGACACACCGGGTGTACACTTGTTTTATGTTCAGTCGTGAATTTGTGAAGGGAGAGGGGTTTGAAAAGAATTCAGCAGCGAAGTGGTAAAACGGTACAAGTCAATTTTGACTATTGACCCGTTTACAATGAATATCTCGGAATCTAAGGGAGATAGAGAATTTTTTGGTATAACCTTTTTTGTAGTGCCGATTGAGAGCTACAACAAATATAATTACGAAAATTTCGCTATCTCTCTTAGATTCCGAAATATTCCTCAAAAACCCAACTGGGAGATGAGTCGACTTAAACCGCTTTACCACTTCGCTACTGAATTATAATATTAAGGATATCAAGTTATCATGCAGGAATAGCCATACCAATAAATTATAATTACTGGTAAATTATTAACCTATCAATTGGTTAATATCACTTTTAAATTTTGATTATTGAAGTAATCAACCAATTTAAATAGTCAAATTTTGAATTATTCATTAATCTGCAATTGAATTAGGAAGATTGACGATTATTTGGATAATCGGAAATGCTTTTAATATTGAAGTAAAAGGCTTTTTTACTTTTGTAGTCGAACATCGGAGCTTTCATTTGAGCCCCATTTGCCCCTAAGTCTCCGGACATTTTAGAGTGACTTTTTTATTTAAACTTTGCAGGTCTGAATTTGAATCTCGATATTGAACCGTCAGAAAACATTTGAAAAATCGGAACAAAAAATTAGAACGTGTATTTTGGAGAAAGATTGATGAAATAATTGAAGAATTGTAATTTTTGAAAATTACGATCATTTTTTATAAATAATTTATGAACAATCAATTTTCCGTCATAAAAATCGTTTGTTCGGAATCGTAACAAGTTTATATTCAGTAAATATTCAGAATTTTACCAGGAATTGATTTCATGCCTAAAAAAAGATACTTCCGAAAGTTTAAAGAGTTTCAATTATTCCTTTATTAACAACGAATGTTTAAAAAATAATAATTCTGTGCAAAATGTACAGAATTGCCAATGGGACTTTCCTGACGTTTTTCTCAATTGCATTGCGTGGTTGCAGTTTATCTCGTGAATATGGGGGGATTGAAAGGTCCCAGAAAAAAAATTGCGTACTCTACTAAATTGTCTGAATAAAAATTTCATCAGCTACAAATAAATACCTTCCTGTAGCTTTTCAAATTGCTTAAATTATCCTTGCATTTTAGGTGGTAAATGTCTTAAGAATGAAGTGTTTTTGAAACACTCACCAATGGACTTGTTTATGAGAAATTTCACAAAATACAAAATAAGTTCTTTGATATTTTTACGGAAAACCCATTAGCTTCAGAGATATTTACATAAATTTATGAGCCTTGCCAAATTCTGAAGAATGGCTTCATCGGTAATTCTGCAAATTCTTTCAAAAGGAATTATTACAACTCATCAATTGACGTTTAGTAGTCTATCGAATTATCTACATGAGACGTCTTCTGACATTTTCGCCTAAGCCCACTAGTTTCTTTTTCTTTAATTTTTAACTCATTTAAAAATTTTCAACTCATCTGCTTTCACCACTTCGTAAGTTATTTAATGCATAACGCAGGCGCATTGTAACGAAAAGAATAGACTGTTACGTGCATTTGTAACCACGTGGAGTGATCTTGAGAATATTTTATTACAAGCCATATAATTTTCCATACCGTGAGAAACTTTTACATTCATGACTTGGAATTTTCACTTAAAACACTAGAACTTTTTCCAAAAAATTGTGAAATAAATCATAAAATTTCCGAAGTTAAAAAATTTGAACTTTAAAAGTTATTCAATAAATTGACTGTTTTTCATTGATGAAAAATCAATCGTATTTGACGTACCTGTCGCGATATTTGAATTTAAATAACAATAAATCCCAGACAATTACATCATGATTATTTAAATCCACTCTAAATAACTGTGTCGATTGTCCCGTTTTTATCACTGACTTGTGTCATTTCGATAACATGGTCTACACCACGAGGAATCGAACTGACCCGTAGCGCGCGTCGATGAGTACTGATACGAAATAACGAGTCAACTCAAGCACGATAACAGAATATCTATGCGCCTGCGCTCAATTCCACTGAACTCTCCTAGTACAAAGTTTAAACATGTAAATGAGCCGCAAACATACCCTCGGAGCTGTACTAATGAAATAAGACTGTAGACTCAAACCAGTATTTTTTTAACGTCGAGTGTGGAAAAATGAGGGAAACGTTGTTTCTGCTAATATCTTGGGGTTTCGATGCTTTTAGCACCGGAGAAACGAGTTGTTTAAAACATAGTGAATTTCAATCAATTTCACAAGATGAAATATTTTTTTTTGTTTTGCATGTGCGAAAAAAATATCGTAGAAAAATCTATTTTGCTTAAAAAATCTCTAGAATTTCTAGTGCAAGTTTATAAGAAAATGATGAAACTATGAAAATTGCTCTGTGATTTTTGAATAGGTAGGCGATAGAATAAATTCAATGGATTTTGATTTTTTTAATGAGGATTCTTGGGCAGAAATGTTCCGAGTTTTTCTGCACTTTTTTTGCGTTTATCAATGGAAAATTCAAGGAGTAGTTTTTTTTATTCAATTTTATTGAATTTAAAAAAGAATAAATCCCAGACAATTACATCATGATTACATAGAATTTTATTGAGAAACGAAAAAGAGGGGAACCAGCACCATTTGCGATTATTTTACAAGAAAAATCTGAAAAAATGGATAGTCCAGACCGAGATTTCAAACTACGTCTCGAATTTTGTACACTGTTAGAAAATTACTCTTGAAATTTCAAGTAAAAAATCTTGAAATTTTTAACAACGAATAATTTACATGGAATTTCCATTGAACTTGTTATTGATAAATCAGCCAATGTTCTTGAATATTCAATGGAATTTGATTTCTCAGATTTATACGATAATGAAAATTACTGAAAATCATGAAAATTCAGAGAATTCTTGTTTTGAATTTTCAATCTGTTGCTTAATTTTCGCGATAGGTTTGAAAATCCAAATTGTCACTGAAAATTCAATGATCATTCATAATGAAAAACTTAATTTCATTGAATTTCCAAGATGAATCAGGAATTCCATGAGAAATTTAGTCTGAAATTGAATTCAAGTTCAGAATATTGAAAATTCAAATGCATCTGTTACTTAAATTTCAAAAAATTTCTAACAGTGTATTGAAAAACAAAAAAAAAAGTTAAAAAATCCAGGGCTAAGAAATTCCTCGAAAAAATGCAACGAAATCATTTTTATAAAAAAATCAACATCCACTGACTTTTGATGTGGATGAATTAGAGTGTGTATGACTCATTACGAATCGAACCAATAACTTCCCGACTAATTGACTTTCCTTCGTTCATTAGAATGCAATTTTTCTATACAATTTATTCCATTTAGCGATTTTCCATTCAATTTCCTCCGCTCAAATTACCTATGTTTTTTGTTTTGATTTTCTTAACGAAGAGAGCAGAAAAATAGAATGAAAAAAATTGAATTTCAAAAAATCATGTTCGAATTACTCCTAAACCGGTAAGACGATTGTCCTGGAATTTCACTCGTCTTAATCATACGAAGCTGCATCAATTATGATGACAAGAAACCAATCTCATTGTATTTCTGAGATAAATCCCCAAATTTGTTAAAAAATGTCATGTCTCATCATTTTTTGACAAGTTTTATTGCAAAATCTCCAGAACCGCTGAGGCGATGTTGTTTAGAATCTAATCAGTACAAAGTACTGATCAGTACAAAGTACATCAGTACATGAAAACACAACGATTGCGTGAAAACAAGTTTTTAGAGTTGCTGAAAGCGGAGAAATCATGAAATTTCCACAATCGATTTTCGAGGTCATTCCAGAAACTTCCTCCCTTCGCATCGGTAAATGGAAAGAATAATTGACTTACCTCCAGCCTCTCAGTGGCCTTGAGCAGTCTCTCATAATCGACAGTCCCCTGCACCGTCAGCAATTCCATCATATAATCAGCCTCCTGCACCGACTGCTGTACAAGTTCCAACTGTCTCTCGAACCTCCTCCAAAGTTCCAGCCTGTTCTTCAACAATGCCAAGAGCCTGGCACACCTGGACTCCAGTTCCGTGTGCACATCTTGGAGGTTCGATATGTCCCTTTCAATTCCCACAGCTGAGACGGAGACCCTCATGCCCCCTGGGAGTGTATGGAGGAGCTGCCTGAGCGACATGATCTCCTTCCAAAGTACCTCAAGCTCAGAAGCCACTTGCTGGCACCTCTCCACTCCCCCTGCAACCACATCACTCCCTTGGCTTTCGCAGTCCTCACACTGATCCAGAATCAATGACTGTCTCGCATGCGCCTTCCTGATCCTCGAGAGACCCCTCTCGAGTGCCTTGAGCCGCTCTGAGAGCAGCTGCGCCGCATCCAACTCCTCACCAATCTGACCCTCAATTCTCCTCGCTGAGGACAGAAGAACTCCGACTTTCTCACTCTCAGCTGCTGGCAGCATTCCCAATCGACCCAACTCGTCCTGAATGAGGCAAACCCTCTCAAACATGACTGACAGCCTCTCAACATACAACTCAAGCTCCTCCTCGGTCTTGAGAACCCCGTAGAAACCGTCGATTGTTGTTCTGAGCTCGTTGAGCTCCCTCTCGAGAAGACGAAGCTTCTCGTCCACTGGTGTGTCCTCCGAGGAAATGGTATCGGCTATGGATTTTTGGATCGAGTGGATTCGATTTGAGATCGAGTGCCAGCGGTCCTGGAGCTCTCCCTGGAACTGACGCTGCACCATCTCGTCGGACAGGGGGATTATTCGGAGGGACTGCTCGAAACAGATGTTCGACTCTGTTCGCATGTTGTTGTGGACTTCGTATTGAGCTTTCAATTCCTGTTGGGTTAACACGAGCGTAATTGGGGGATTCACGCATGAAATAATTTAACAGAAAACCTAGTGAATTCGTTTGAAAATTTTATTGGGCTTCTGTAGGAATTCTATGGGCTTGCGATAGGATTTCTATTCGAATTTTATTGACAAATTCTATTTGTTTTTTTGGGCTGATTCTATTGGATATTCAATAAGAAAAAGTCAATAGATTTCGAATTTCTGTTTGATTTTTTTAAGCGTTTTTAATAAAGATTAAGAAATAAGTTCGATAGAGAGGAAATAGTGAATGGATAATTTATCATGGTAACTATCGATCTACCAGCCATTGACTACTGTGACAAATGATGACCTAACAGCCATTAGATACATCAAATTGTTAATTTGCAATTTCCTCCCTATTGAGTTTATTTTCCAATATTGTTCAAAAACGCTCTTTGAAAACGTTCAATTTTTTTTCAACGTTATTTTGATTGTACACACGTATTGAAAAATTCAATAGAAAACCTAGCGAATTCGCTAGAAAATTCTATTGGAATTCTATAAAAATTCTATGGGGTTTCTATAGGATTTCAATTGGACCCTTGTAACAAAATTCCTTGTGGAATTCTATTGAAAAATTCTATTTGTTCAGTGCGCTGATTCTATTGGATATTCAATAAAAAAAGTCAATAGATTTCGAATTTCTGCTTGAATTTTTCTCTTAAATGTTTTTTATTAGAATTATTGGGCCCGAAAATTTTCCAAGTTTTTTCCACGGGATTTTGTTTTGTTTTACATTGTAGAATTCGAGTAGAAAAAACTTGGAAAATTGATGCCCTAGAATTCTTATAGAAAAAAACTCAAGAGAAAACTTTAAACAGAAATTCGAAATCCATTCACTTTTACTTATTGAATATCCAATAGAATCAGCGCAAAAAACAAATTGAATTTTTCAATAGAATTCCAATAGAAATCATGTAGAAACCCCATAGAATTCCAATAGAATTTTCTAGCGAATTCACTAGATTCTCTATTGAATTTTTTCATACGTGTTGGTCAGTCTTAAACTGATGACTTACACTTATAGTTGCAACACTTACCCAGAACTGACGCATTTGTCCCTCCCAGTGATCTTGAACAGAGCCAAGCTCTCGTTCGGCCCTGGCCATCCAATTCTCAAGGCGATTGACTAATAACTCTCGAGTGCACCAGCTCTCTTTGAACGCCAGGAGATACCGCAAAGAAGTATCCACGTTATCCTGGAGTCTTGCAATGACGTCGAGTGCCTCGGAATACCGATCGTCTGGGTCCTCGATGGTTATTAACTCTTCAAGTGCACTGGCGACGTTTACGAGCTGAATTAGACGCGCTTGATGGGCTGCGATGTCTGATGAGAGTGTCTGAATAATTGAGATGAACCAATCAAATGTTACGGAATTGTCCCAAATTATCAATGGTGGATTCAAGTTGTATGAACATAACTTGAATTGTCACGACTAAAATCGGAGATAAATTCTGAACGAAAGTTAATAACGGTAAAACATTCTGGTGGAGTTGCATGAATGAAAAAATTTAATAGAAAAACCTAGCAAATTCGCTAGACAATTCTATTGAACTTCTATTAAACTTTCTATTATTTTTTGGCCAATTTTATTGAAATTTTAATAGAAAAAGTGAAAAAAATCGATTTTTCTATACAACTTATTCTATGTATTCGCATATTTTCTATAGAATTCACTCGGCTCAAATTTTCAAAGTTTTTTTCTATGATTTTCTTGATGAGAAGAAAAGAAAAATAGATAACAAATATTACTAAATACAAGCTAAGAACGTCGAAGAGTAAAATAGCATTGAAATGTGCCAACTGGCGGTGCATTGTTCGTTTAACCCTTTTTCCGTACTGACCTTCATTTATTCTCATCAGGGGATTGGTATTGGTCCTTCCCCAAACTCGTAAAAGTGAAAATCACTACGGAAAAATATCGTTCACGACTAGTGCCATGGAGTTTTTTTAGTCGCGTGGTAGGCTAGTTCTTGCCTTCGACTCGGACGCCAACTGCACGCGACTAAAAAACTCCATGGCACTCGCCCTGAAATATACTATTCCTCTGCCGTTTTTCTATGAAAAACCTATTTATATTCCAATATAATGATATGAAGAAACGTTTAGCGCCAGCAGAAACGTTTCATTGGATTGTGTGTCAAATTTCAAAAGAACTACTTAAAAATTGACTGAGATACTTGCACCACAAGCTTGAAAAAGGCAGAAACGACATTGAATTGAAAATAATTTGAGAGGAACATGATTTTTGCACGCATTTGTTTTCCTTTTTTGATTTTATCCAAAATTTTTTAACCGTAACCAAATGATTTATTTCTCGAAACAGTTTTTCTAAGGGCGTACGCCCACTGCTCAACAGTAACTTCCTGTAACCGAACAATTTGAGAGACACATGATTTTTACACGCATTTGTTTTCCTTTTTTGATTTTCTCCAAAATTCTTTAACCGTAACCAAATGATTTATTTCTCGAAACAGTTTTTCTAAGGGCGTACGCGCAGTGCTCAACGGTAACTTGCTGTACCGACCGGCCGTTCTATTCATAGACGTTGTGTTCAAATGCCCACAGTATCGATAATATTGGGAATTTCGGTGTCGAATTTTTACAGGATATTTTTAAATGTGATAGCCGCAGAAAAAACAAGAAAAAAATCCCGGCAGGAAATTACCTGATAAAGCGAGATGTACTGATCATAATCAGACGAAGTGACAGTGCTCAAATCGGGCACCCTCTGATGAGCGACCCCCAGCCAGCCTCTCTCCTCCTTGACCCCCTGCTCGAGCATCATCCACCTGGAGGCGGCCAGTGCCATCTGCTGCGCCTTCGACGCCGCCCTATCCAGCAGAGTATTGGCTCGACTGTGCAGTTCCTCATGCAGTCCAGCATGCTTCTCCCTGGTTTCAGGATCGAGATTGCCCTCGAGGCTCTCCAGAATGGCCCTGCAGTGATTCAAATTCACAAAGAACTTCCTGTGCTTCTGCATTTCCTCCCTCAGGTGTTCCAGGCTGCCGACCGAGATGGGAGCAGCCAAAAGGTCCTCAGCCACATCCGTGATCTGCGCAAACTCCTGGAGAGTCTGCTCGTACTCCTCGGCGAGCGACAGCAGCTGCATCAGTCGCTCCCTCTCCACATGGATTCCATGCTCAACCTCCTGCCCAATATCGTGAGCTTCAAACGTCTCCTCGGGGACAACCCTCCCAGGATGATCCCTCAGGATCTTCTTCGCGGTCGTCACGAGACTACTGGCCTTCCAAAGATGGCTCCTATTAACAATCTCCAGCCTGTCGAGCTCCTGCAGCTTCCAGATAGTCGAGCCCCCCTCCTGGATCACCCGTTGGAACTCCTCCTGGTGGTCCTTCATCAGTTTCAGAATGGTCTCCACTCCATTGAGGAACTCCTCCCACCTAGTCAGCTCGGAGCTCGTCAGCCGCTCCTCATCGATCGTCACGTGTTCAATGGCCTTCACCTGACTCTCCAAGGCCTCCACGCACTCCCTGATCCCCTCCCTCTCCTCCTCAGGGAAATCCAGCTCGCCTCTCCTCAGCATCTGATCCAACTGCTTCAGAGAATTGTCAACGTGACACACCTCGTCCTTCAATCCCCTGATCTTCCGACTGTCCTCAGTCGTCGGTCCCCCAGAACTCTCTCGCCCCAGAAACACTCGATACTCGATGGTTTCCAACCACGTCGAGATGATCTCGATGATCGTCACGATAGTCTCCTCCACGACAACAATGTCCTGCTTCTCGACTGCTCTTTCCAGATGCGTCAGCTGATTCTGAACCTCTGACACTCGTTCGTCGACAGATGCTTCGTTCGAGACGTCCTCGAGGGTTGCCATGTGGAGGATGTTGGATAGGAGGCTGGTTTGCCTCGCGTTCTGCAGATTATTCAAACGATCCGACATCCTCCTCGTCATCTGCGTCCTTCGGGTGATCTGCCCGGGTCCGAAGGTCGACGTGTGCGCCGTCTCCGGGAGTGAAGACCGCTGGCATGCATCTCCCCAGGCAGCGTCGTCCTTCCTCAGAACTGATTCCATCGGGGAAAGGGGCTCCTCCGACGTGTCCATCGGCTCCGGTGTTTCGATGCTGATTGCCCTTGGCGCAGCTTTCGTCTCCCTCACCTGTAGAGATGTGGAATGAGCGTCATTTTCTCTTTCGGTCAGGTCAGACGTAAATGATCGGTTTCTGACGGTTCCGTGTGTCAGACGCGAGCCAAAGTGACCGAAATTTGTCTATAAGGTGGAAATTGACGGGTAATTTTATTTCGGTCATTTTTTGGGCCATTTCTTAAGGGTTCGATCGGAAAACTTTTTAATATACTGTTAGGAAAAAATGAAATTTGATGGACAGTTGACTACCAATTTTCGGGGCAGTGACACTGAATGCGATTTAGGGGAAAAAAATAATGAAATTTCAGGTTTCACTGAAAATTCATGAAAATTTCAGAATTTTAAGGGACATAAAGACGAGAATTCCTTAATTTATTTGAATTTCCAATCTGATATGAATATTCAGTTTCAAATTGCATTGAATTTTCAGTGAAATCTGAAATTTCATGATTTTTTTTCCCCCTAAATTGCATTCAGCGTGACTGTCCTGAAAATTCAAGAATATATTTGCCAGATTTCATGGTTTTCTATTAATTTTCAGGGAACAATGGAACGGAAATTTACAGTTCTGTTTAATTTTTCCACGAAATTCTGAACTTTCAATGACAAGATTTCCTGAAATTTCAGTGGAATTGGTACACGATAAAAATTTCCGGAATTTGGCACGAAACATTCACACAAAATTTTCAACAGTGGAGAATTGAATTATTATCCTTTGTTATTCTATTTATTAATCAATAAATAGCCGCACTCTAACAGATACTGTTAAAAAAATAAGATGAAATTTCATGGGCAGTTGACCGGTAATTTTAAAGACAGTGCCACTGAATGCCCTTTAAGGAGAAAGAAAATTATAAAATTTCAGATTTCACTGAAAATTTAATAAAATACCAAAATTTTGAGAAATATAAAGACGAGATTTCTGCAATTTATTCGAATTTTCATTGAAAACATGAATATTCAGTGCCAAGTTACCCTGAATTTTCAAATAATTGCACATTCAGAAATATATTGATCGTAATTTTCCAGTTTTCTACTAATTTTCAAGAAATAATTGAACTAAAATTTACAGTTCTCATTGATTTTTCCCCGAAATTGAGAATTTTCAATGGCGAAATTCTTTGGAATTTCAGCGGAACTTAAATGTCGTAAAAATTTCGGAAAAGTCTACTGGGAATTTCAACTAAAAATTTTTAAAAGTGTAGAAATCGCTGGAATAGTCGAGGGTCCAATTTCCGTCTACATACAGAAAATTGACGGTCAAAATTTATTCAGTCATTTTATGCGTATGTACGCATGAAAAACCTCAATAGAAAACCTAGCGAATTCGCTAGAAAATTCTATTGGAATTCAATTTGTTTTTTGCGCTGATTCCATTGGATATTCAATAAGAAAAAGTCAATAATTTCAAATTTCTCTTTGAATTTTTCTCTTAGATTTTTTCAACTAGAATTAATGGTTACAAATTTCCCAAGTTTGTTCCGCTGGATTTTGTCTTGTTTTGCATTGCAGAATCCGAGTGGAAAAAACTTAGAAAATTCATTCCCAAGTACTCTTATAGAAAAAATCTCAAAAGAAAAATTCAAACAGAAATTCGAAATCTATTGACTTTTTCTTATCAAATATCCAATAGAATCAGCGCAAAAAACGAATAGAATTTTTTAATGGAATTCCAATAGAAATCTCATAGAAACCCCATAGAATTCCTATAGAATTCCACTACAGTTTTCCAGCGAATTCGCTAGGTTTTCCATTGAATTTTTTCATACGTGTGGCCAATCGTTATTTCTTTTTCCGACCATATGATCATATTCTCGGTGCGGTAATTACCGCTCGTGACGGTGGTAATTGACGGTCATTGACCAGTCACCCTTGTCGCTCACATCTCTACTCACCTGCATCGTGACTTCAATCCTCCCGCCGTGTGGGCTCGTTTCCCTCAGCGTCTCCTTCATCTTCAGCTGTTCAGCCCCTGGGGCTTCCAGTCGGACTTTCAATCCCGCTTCCTTAGAGTCCTCCCCCTGCTTCTGGTACTGCTCGAATCTCCTGACCCTCAGGTCCGAGGAGACCCCTCCAAGCCCCCTGTTATCCTCCTCAGGTTCCGAATCGTGAGACCCCTTCCTTGCAACATCGGAGTACGACAGCTTCATCGCAGCTGCTTTTTTCGACGATGGCTGTCCGAATATCGAGCCCAGGTCCTTCGACCCGCGATCCTGCTGCTCGTGTTCCCCCTCTTTACCTGTTTTCGATTTCTTCTTCTTCTTCTTTGCACGCCTCCGAGATTTATCCTCGGTGTCGCCCCCCCTGGGTTCACTGAATTCATCCGTAATTGTGGTATCGTGAGTAATATCAGTTGATTCACTCAGGCAAGAGTCGGCTGTCGTGCTGTCGAGATCGATCGTTGCTTGCACGTGAATCTCCAGGGATGTGTCGGTGGAGTCTTTTTCGGAGGCTTCTAAGGTCGCTTCCTCCTTCCTCTGCCCATCTCTCTCCACGTCCACCATCTCCTCATCGGGAATTGCGGGAGGGGGGAGCCCACGAAGGGGCTCCAGCGGCTCTTCCCGCTCCTTCGGGGGACTCGGTGGCGGGGCTCCAACGGGCATCGGCGATATCGCCCTCTCAATCGTTAAATCATCGACCTCTGGCATCGTCGAGGCCTCGGCGGAGTCGACTGTCGCCTGCTGCGACACCGATATCTTCTCGGGCTCCTCGACCTCCTCGCGTTTATCTCCTTCAGACGTCTGAAGACTTATCTCCGCCGTATCCGGCAGTATCTGAATGCTCTCCTCCTTCGTCGCAATCAACTCACCTCTCTCGATTTGAATGAAGGAATCTGCTGTCTCCTTGGCCTCGGGACTCAGTGTCTGCACTTCCTCTTCAGCTGTGATGACTTTACCCTCGAAACTCGTTTGTGCACTGAGATTCATTTGCTCGGGCGATTGCGCCTCTGGCTCGGGACTCGTTTGTATCACTGACTCGACCGTCGGCTCTGGACTCTTGGTTTGCACTTGGATTTCTTGGTGGGAGATGCGCGGCGTATCTTCGGGACTGGTTTGCGTTTCCATGGTTGCAACAACAATTGGTTCGATCAAATTGCCTGGTACCTCGGGGTGTTGGGTTTCGGGTGCCTCTGGGGTCGTTTGCACGTCCACTTCAGTCGTCACGGGGGCCTCCGGGCTGGAGGTTTGCATCGATGTGTCCTCGAGGATTGTTTTTGGGGGCTCCTCCGGGGGAGGGGTCGTCTGCTGTTCGGCGTCTTCGAATGACTCTGTCCGAGAGATTTTCCCGGGCTCCTGGGACACTTGAGACGTTTGGGTCTCGATTTCGGCGGTAGCAGCGCACACGTTCTCCATCGGGGATGTCTGGATGCCGAAAGTGTCGACGTCAACTGTCGTCTGGACCTCGATCTCCTCGGTCTCTTTTACTGGAGGAACTGGCGGTGGCTCTTGATTCGTCAGGGGACTCGTTTGGACACCTCCCTCTGCCCTGGGGGTTTGCTCGGGCGTCGTCGTTTGTATCGAGCACTCTTCCTTGTCTGGTGATCGCAAAAGCTCGGTGGTTTGCATTCCAGAGTCCAAGACTGGCGTCGGAGATGTCTGGATTTCCGTGTGGACTTCTTGTTTTTGGGCGGTTTGGGGAGGCCCTGGGGATGCTGCCTCTTCAGGAATGTCCTCAGGCGCCACCGAGACATCTTTGGTTTCGAAAAGTGTTTGGGTGTCGACCTCAGCCACCGAACAAACCATCCTGAGTTCTTTCTCTTCCTCTTCGTCACCCATTCCCCTCTCCATCTGCCTCTTCCGCTTCTTCTTTCTCTTCTTTTTACTCAAATCATCGTCTTGAGTCAGCGACATCTCCTCGACAGTCGTTCTGTCCTCCGGCTCGTAACCAATCTCGCAAGTCCCTTCCTGGTGGCTAGACAATATCAGTGATGTTTCGGTTAGTTCTAGAACGTCAGGCTGTGGCTGTTCACTCGGTTGCCTAGGCGACTCCGATAAAGGTAGGTTTATATCCGTGGACTCAGCTATTGTCGTCGCGATCGAAGTGTCGGACTCCCCAGAGGCTTTCTCCGGGGAGTCGGGATCTTTGCGTTTTTTCTTTTTTCTACTTCTTCGACTGACTGTCGACTCCGTTTCACTCTTGTCCAGGGGATCGACAGTGGGCTCTGTCTTCTGGGAGACTGTCTCGGTTTCTGGGAGCTCCATTTTTATTTCCTCTTTCGTGATGAGGTAAGTCCCATCATCCTCCGGACGTTCCACTGCGGTTTGCAGGGATACCGATGCCTCAGGGGTCTCTGATTCCTTTTTGATCGACAGGGAAATCTCAACTTTTTCGACTATTGGTTTCTCTCTGCGCTCGAGCACTTGGGGAATTTCGGGGGTTTTGTCCTCGATGGGTAATTCAATATCGATGGCTTCTTTGACGATTTGGTAGATATCATCAGCTCGTCTTTGTGATTCTGTAACAACAGCGAATTTCGGAAGATTTTCGTCCTCATTTCCACGAACTGACAGCGAAATTTCCACTTTTTCTCCTGATTTTTCGGGTGAGAGGCTTTCACGTTGCCGAGGGTCTTCCAAATATGGTTGCTGATCGTCTCCTGAGATCCTCGACTCATCCTCTGGGACAATTAAACTGATCACATCAACAGATTCTACGGTGAGGCTACTCTCAGGGTGCTTAGCTACATCTACCGTGCCTGTCTCTACTTCGATACCAGGTGCATCGACTGACTTACAAGTGGACTCTGTCTGTTGCTCCTCATCGGGGGCATCTGGCTCGGGTTTATCGAGTGGCTCGGGCTGTTCAGTGAACTCAGGGCTCTGCAAAACAGCGGAGCGTTCAGAATCGATCAGCGATTGGGTCAAGAGTCCAATTGGGGAGGACTTCATTACCTCGAGCAGTTTTGAATCTTCCTCAGTGGGTTCGGGTTTTGATTCTTCCGAGACAATTTCATGCTCTTCAACATCTATTTTTGTGTCCTCCGGAGAACTAGGAGTGACTTTTCCTTCCTCTCCTCTCTCGATATTGTGCGTTGGTTCGTCGTCAATTAATTTCGATTCGTCTTCCACACCTGATGGTTCGATCAATTTTTCTGTCATTTTCTCTTCAACTCCAGCTGCTGTTACTTCTTCCACTTGTCCAACTGACCCCTCGAAGGGCCCAAAGAATGGCCCTTGCAAGGGACTACCAGGTGCCTGTCCTCTACCATCGTTTGTTTGCACAGACCTCGCCTCCTCCTGCTTCGCAACATTAATACAGATGTGCGGAATGTCCTGGTCGTCGATCTCCACCTCCTCAGGCTCTTCGATCACCTCTTCGGAGGTCGTCTCCTTGCCATCGATGATCGTCACCTTCCGGATAATTCTTCTCGTCTTCTTGATCACTCGTCTCGTCACCTGCTGCACCACCGCGTGAACACTCGACGTCTTCGTCTGGTATTCTCCAGCTGTGGAGGCCATCTCCGCGTCAAGAATCTCCTCTGGTGTCACGTCCTCCAACTCCCCTCGGACAACAGTGCGCGTGTACTGAGGCTCCGCCTCGAACTCCTCCACGTTAACGTCACCTGGTGCTCCTGTCGTGACTTTCCCTCCGTAAGTCCGCCTGGTGGAGACCTCCACAGTTCCATCGGGCCTTGTCCTACTCAGGGTGATCTGCTGACCTCGCATTGTCGCTTCTGAAAAGGTCTTCACTGCTGGGGCCTCACCGAGAAGAGTCGACACCTGCGAGACTTGTTGTTGAGTCGTTTGAGTTCTCTTCAACTTCCTCACGATTATTCGCCTCGTGCCGTCAGCGTCCACCACCACCTCAGTCGTCACGTCATCGGGCTCAACCACAATTGTTTCAAAGGCCTGAGGTGCTGCATGGTGAATGCTCAATTCCGATGATGCTGATTGCTGTAACTTGGCGTCTTGGTACTTCATGTCCACGACGATGTCTTCGGTCTTGGTCTTGTCGGTGTGGTCTGACGTCGAGGGGATGTTCTTGGTGGCGATCTCGAGGACATCGTGGGTGTCGTCCGCTGTCTTTCGGACTTTGATGGTCTCCTGGAATTTGGGCTCCAGGCTGACTTGGGTGGGGATTGGCTCCCCTTGGAGTGCCGGGGCGGCGAGGATCTGGGAGGTTGAGGTCTGCTTGGTGAGGTGGGCTGGGGCTTGACCTGCCAGGCTCTGGCCTGTTTGCAGGGAAACGTCGGTCCAGGAGGGGGACTCCTCCGCTGGGGGAAGGGATGGCGCCTGATCCACTGACGAGCCGTCGGGCTCCAGGGGCACGGCCTCCAATTCCTGGAAAAAATCAAGGTTTTAGGGAGTTTTGGGATTTTGGGCGGTGAAGTGGGGAGGGAATGAGCCGGATTTATTTCATGAAAGAACCGTTTTGGAAATATCTCCAGGGAAAATTTCGAGAGGGAAGTGGGCAAACGCTTCAAGTCAGTTCTCGATAAATATCTCAAATTCTAAAAGAGTTGGCAACAATTTCCTAAGAATCTTTTTTGTAAAGCAAAGTGAAGACTATTGAAAAAGATCTTACAAAAATTTCGCTATCTTTCTTAAATTCTGAGGTATTCAACTTAAGAGTTTGAATACCTAAAATGACAATATTATTGTATTATACACACGTACACATCATATACGATTAATTTCATTATATATATCAGTAGCGAAGTGGTAAAGCGGTTTAAGTCGACTTATCTCCCAGTTGAGTTTTTGAGGAATATTTGCAAATCTAAGGGGGATAACGAAATTTTCGTAATTACATTTGTTGTAGCTCTCAATGGGCTCTACAAAAAAGGTAATAACAATCTCCCTTACATTCCGAGATATTCATTGAAAACTGGTCAATAGTCAAAATTGACTTGTGCCGTTTTACCACTTCGCTATTGATATATACTCCTTTTTTTCTTTCCTTTTTCATAATATTCTACTGTATAAACTTGTAAAGTTTCGAGCAATTGAATAAAAAAAAAGTTATTGAACCAAAACTCAACTGGGAGCTAAGTCGACTGAAACCGATTGACCACTTCACTACTGATTTGTCTTCTGTTTTATGTTCATTTATGTCCTGCTTCATCTGCATTGATATTAATTATCCGAGAAATCACGTATGAAAAAGTTTAATAGGAAAATCTAGCGAATTCGCTACACTGAGAAAGAAAAAAATTTGTGCCGAATATCCATTCACTTGAGGCGCATTTATTTTTTCAATAACATATTTCTCCAGTCGAGTGATTTCCAGGCAATCCTCATTATGTTTCAATTAATAGTAATTATAGTGTAGAGTACTATAATTACTATAATAAATAGTAATTATAGTGCACTATAATTAATAGTAATTATAGTGCTCTACACTATAATTACTATTATTACAAATTTCTAACGAAATTTAGCTCCCTTCCCCCTTAAATTCCGAGATATTCATTGAAAAGTGGTCAATAGTCAAAATCGACTTAAACTCCGAATCTGAAGAAGATAGCAAAATTTTTGTAATAACCTTTTTTATAGAGCAAATAAAGGGCTACAAAAAATGTCTTAACGAAAATTTTCACATCTCCTTTAGATTCGGAGATATTCATTGAAAACTGGCCAATAGTCAAAGTCGACTTGAACCGTTTTACCGCTTCGCTACTGGTTTTTTACGTTAAAACTTCCTCTTCTAGTTCAGCATCCATTCGACAAAGAATTGTATAGAACAAGTGATGAACTAGTTGCCAAGCGGCATCAGAAGTAAATATCAAGAGATGTTTTTCAAGAAACATTTCAACAGACGACAAAATAGTAGACAGTTTTCTCGGAACTAGTTTTGGAGGTTTTTGCAAAATTATCTCCATGAAATTTTCCAACTCCATCTCTTGTTCTTCATAGCTTGCACACAGATTGAATTGGAGATGGTGATGATGATGACAGTAGGGATGATGAATGACTACATTTGATGATGAGTGAAAAAAATGATGAAGCCTTCGTTATTAATTCAATTTTTTTGTTAGATAATTAACAACGCATCTGATGAATTAAATAATAACTAAAATGATGATGTGTTTAAATTTTATTTCAGTAGGTGAAATGACGATGAGGTTTGATGACGATGACATGATTCACGAAAAAAAAAATTAACCACGAAGTAATGAATAAATAAAAATTGGGATGAACGATAAAATTTTAATAATAAACAAGTTACAATAGATGTAAACAATCCTAGTTACATGCAAAAATTCTACACTAAATTTCTACACCTTAAACTAAACAACTACATTTAGATAAGTGAGAATTATATTCAACGAATAGAAGAAACCTGTAATTTCATGATTAAATAAAATTACACCACGAGAAAAACATGAATACAAGGACTAGAAAAATTGAAGAAAAAGTGAATTACCCACAGGGAGAAGAGTAAAATACGTATTTACGAATAAAGTAAATTAACAGTGACAACTGACATGAATGAATGTACACCATATACCACAAAATATTATGAAAAAAGAACTAAATGATATGAAGCAGAGGTGTGGAGAATTGACAAAAATATCATCACAACGATGTTGCAAAAATTCCCTGAAACTTCAAGAGCAAAAAATCCTGAGAACTCTACAGAGTATCTTACACCAGCAAGATACTAGAAAGTTATTGTCTCTTTTATTTCCCCTCATCTTTAACAAGAACAAGTGATGATGAATGTCTAAGCGAGTCCCATAACCGATGTGCGATGAGTAATGAACAGTGCGTAAGCCCCAGTGATCTGGTAAGTCTCGTGTACCTGCTGCTTTTCACTTATTTTTGTCTTCATCTCCATCAGTGCATCCTTCAGTCCCTTTGCTAATGCATTGACCTCGGGAAGAGCCTCCAGCTTGGTGACCCGATCTGCTTTGCTCTTCAACTCGTCCTGCAGGGCCTGAGGTAATTACAAAAACTCATTTACTGTAATTCAATGTGGTTATTAACGACGACAGGGCAGAGAAAAATTTCTCAAAAAAAATTTCGTCGTATCGTCAAAAGGACGATTTGATAGAAACACCCAGCCAATTCGCTAGAAAATTGTATTCAATTGTATTCTATTGAACTTTTTTTATTAGTTTTTGGTTGATTTCATTGACAAATTCCAGTTCATCTGTCCGTTGTTTTGAACAGAAATGTTTTATGAATAATATTCTGTAGAAAAAATCAATAGAATTCGATTTTTCTGTACAACTTATTCCATTGAAATATTTTCTGTAAAAATTTCTCGACTCAAATTTTTCAAGTTTTTCTAAATTTTGTTTCATTTTTTTAATTTAAGACCCGGGGGGGATTATCTTTCGAACGTTGTCTCGATTGTTTTTCCATCTTCATAATGTAAACTATATCACAATTTCTATTGGATTTTACGTTACGCAGGAGTCCCTAAAATTATTATTGTACAATAAAAAAAAGTACAAAAAAAATTGAACATTTTCAAAGAGCGTTTTTAATAGAGATGAAGAAATAAGTCCGATAAAGAGGAAATAATGAATGGATAAATTATCCTGATAACTAACGACCTAACAGCCATTATATAGATACATCAAATTATTAATTTGCAATTTCCTCCCTATTGGCTTTATTTGCCAATATTATTCAAAAACGTTCTTTGTAATATTATTCAAAACGCACACGTATGAAAAAATTCAATAGAAAACCTAGCGAATTCGCTAGAAAATTCTATTGGAATTCTATGAGAATTCCATGGGGTTTCTATGGAATTTCTCTTCGAATTCTATTGAAAAATTCTATTTGTTTTTTGCGCTGATTCTATTAGATATTCGATAAGAAAAAGTCAATAGATTTCGAATTTCTGTAGGAATTTTTCTCTTGAGATTTTTTCTATTAGAAATTATTGGGCACAAATTTTATAAGTTTTTATTTTATTTATTTTATTTTATTATTTTTTTATTTTATTTTATTTCATTTTTGATTTAATTAAGTTTTTTCCACTAGAATTTATTTTATTTTGTATTACAGAATCCGAGTGGAAAAAACTTAGAAAATTGATGGCCAAGCATTCTTATAGAAAAAATCTCAAGAGAAAATTCCAAACAGAAATTCAAAATCTGCTGACTTTTTCTTATCGAATATCCAATACAATCAGCGCAAAAAACAAATAGCATTTTTCAATAGAATTCCAATAGAAATCCTATAAAAACTCCATAGAATTTCTACAGAATTTTCTAGCAAATTCGCTAATTTTCTATTGAATTTTTTCATGCGTACAATCATAATTTTCGGAGGCTCCAAGGCTATGTAAAACTGAATAGCAATTGGAGCACATTTCAAATTATGAAAATAAAAAAAACAATCAAGATCACGTTTGAAGGATAATCCACCCGGGCCTTGGTTCTTTAATAGTTGTACTGAATGATACTGAAGGTTTATCATTTTCATTTCGCTCTGCCCAACCCAATGAGTCTGTGATTGTGAACCTTGTACGACTCGGACGTGTGCTGCTGACTAAACGACATGATCAAGGCCCTCAACCAGACGTCAGTCTCATCGAGGAATTTCCTGTACTCGAGGACCTCCTGCTCACGTCTTTCTTGATCCGCTTGTGCTCTCTCCAGGGTCATTCGTCCCTGCTCTACCTGGGACAGAAGAGCTACAATCCTCGTACGAATTCCAGCTAGCAAAGCTGCTAGTTCCTGAGTATCCGCGCTGGGATGAATTTTACTGAGTTCTTCCTGAAGTTTTGTGCCTGCTTGGTCGTGCATTTGAAGATCCCTTTGAATTGTCTGTGAAATCCATCATTCTCATTAAAAATAACAATTCTCTCTATTACGCTAATTGTATTCTACAAGAGAAAGCCTTTGAAAACGACCGTTTGATGTAATTCAAGCAAAAAAAAAAATTTCATCACCTTTTGTTTATTAACTGTTATTAATTATTGGGAGTTCTGATGAAAATAATAATTTTCCATTCAGTAGAATGGAAAAGCCCTCCAAAGCCCTGAGGAAGGCCCAGGGGGAGAGCCAGAGGAGGAAAACGGAAAATGTGATTCTGTATAGTACAGAATTCTCTGGAAAGTTTACGAATCTCCTGGAAAATTCTACAATTTTTCGATGCAGAATGTTTCAGAAAACTGGAAGTAATTTTTTTTGAAGTTACACGTATGAAAAAAATCAATAGAAAACTTAGCGAATTCGTTAGGAAATTCTATTGGAATTCTATTGAAAAATTCAATTTGTTTTTTGCGCTGATTCTATTGGATATTCGATAAAAAAAAGTCAATAGATTTAGAATTTCTGTTTGAAATTTTCTCTCGAGATTTTGTCTATAAGAATGCTTGGGCATCAATTTTCTGTTTTTTCTACACGAATTCTGCAATGCAAAACAAAACAAAATTCTACGGAAAAAACTTAGAAAATTTGTGCCCAATAATTCTAATAGAAAAAACCTAAGAGAAAAATTCAAACAGAAATTCAAAATCTATTGACTTTTTCTTATTAAATATCCAATAGAATCAGCGCAAAAAAATAGAATTTTTCAATAGGATTCCAATAGAAATCCTATAGAAACCCCCATAGAATTCATATAGAATTTTCCAGCGAATTTGCTAATTTTTTATTCAATTTTTTCATGCGTGTATCAATGACCGAAATCATTTGGAATTTTCAAAGTTAAAAATCTCACCACAAGCGTTAACAGCATTGTCTGTAAACTATCCCTCGGTAAATCACCGAGGGCCTCTTCGAGTCTATTAACAGCCACTCTGAGATTATGAATATCACCCTCCAGCGACTCCTGTAATCCACAAAAGCCAATTAAAATCGAATAAAAACTCCACCATTATCAACGAAATTCCATCAAGAAAATCAATGACGTGCATGTCGCAAAAAAATTCCTGTACAAGTCCAGGCGACGGATTAATAGCTATACGGATTAGGCTCGAGGCAACAAATATATTTTTTTTCACCAACAAAACCTGCGAAGAACACAAAATAACATTAACAATGAAATGTTTTATCGTTTGACAATGATGATAATGACCTATCAGCGTCCAGTGTGTCTTTACTCGCATCTTCCGGATTCATTTCATTGAATATACCACCGTTGAATTAATCGAATAAATTGTTAGATATGACATGGACGCGGATAAGTCATGCACAGGTAAGATATGCTGTTAATGATTGGATCATGCGGCCCAATTGATCCACCAAATGATAAATTATTAAATGGGAAAGCGGGGACCTAATTATCGAGCAGCACAGAGACTAATGATGGTTCAATGGTTGTGTAACAATGAAGAAGTATAAATACGAGAAAAACAGTGGCAGATGAAGCCTAGGAAATTCAAAAATTAAACAAAAAAAAAAAACGTCAAATTGATGCAACAAGACCGAGCACTTGCGGTCGCACCTTGAACCCAAGAATTCCATTAGTCACGTTTTCCATCACCATCTCCGCCTCGACATCGTCAGTTGACAGCACCACTGATTCCCCAGTTTCTCTACCTAAATGTGTGGACTGTGGAGAGGGAATATCGGAATGGGATATCATAGATTCAGAGAGAAGAGATACAGAAGCAATGTAATAGGAGGTTTGGTGATCGTTATCGACGCGTTTGGTAATGTCATTTTGATAATTGTTACGTGGATCCACCCGCGTGTCGTCAGTATCGATAGCTAAATAGGTGCTGTAGTCGTTCCAGCTACACATGCCACCCGGTAAATCCGCGACGAGTCTTTCGGTAAATGGTAATGCCGATGTGGTGCATGTGTTAGTTGTGTCTTTGGTACCACCACCATTACCCGAATCCCCGTGGGAATCGTCATTGTTATTGTCGCGATTTGATTTATCTAGTGGTTCCGAGACCTTTTGCTTTGGCTTTGAGGCGAGTGCCTCGAAGAAGTCTCTCTCGGCTGTGTGGTACTGGCGTTTGCTGTACCAAAAGCTGTCCATGGACATTGATTCTGCTAGGTTCGATGTTTGCGGGGACTTTGACTGTTCTTTTGCTGATTCCTCGAGTTCGTCGTCTTTAATTTCGATTATTTCCAGAATTTTCGGCGATTTTGCCTCCTTTGGTGTGTGACTGATGACCACAATGTCGTCCTCGTCGATGTAAAACTGGACTTTATCGGACGAAGTCTCGCAAATTTCGACTGGGGACATGTCGGATTGGGATTGAAGGTCGGAAGAGGCTTTCGCTTTTGGCAGCGAACATTTTGGGGGAGTCTGCTGAGAGACCGGCGGTGGAATTATCACCATGTCCTTGAATGCCTCGGGGTCGTTGTGGATGAGACAGAAGCCGGCGGCTTTGATGTCCTCAGGGGTTGGGGGTTCCACTTGGTCCAACTGCTCAGGCTTCGGAGAAGTGGGTTCTGATTTTGGCTCTATTTTCACTCTGATCGGTTTTTGCGGAGATTTTTCGAGTGGTTGAGGGGAAGATATCGTCTGTTGGTCGGTCTTCAGTTGAGCAGGTGCAACAGTTTGTTCAGAACTTTGGATTTGTTGGGTTTTCGCGATAGATTGATCGCTGACAGTCTGCGATTCTGATTTGATCGGAGTTGATTCGACAGTCCTTTCCTGAGGTTCAGGTTTCTCTGTCTTTATTGGAAGACATTTTTCAACTTCTTTGTTCGGCGATTCGATCACGTTTTCTACCTGAGGAGCTTTTTGGTCGGCTTGCTCAGGAACTGTGGATATGTTATCTCTCGGGAGAGAATTCTCATCCTCTTTCTTAGGAACTTCGATCGTCTTTTCTACTTTCACTTGAACAGTTGCAATCGCTTCCTTCTTTGCAACTTCGGAGGTATCGATTCCCGCGACTGGTACTTCAGTAGATTCGGGAGTGATTTCCTCAGTAGTTATAAGCTTAGGATGTTGATCATCTTTGCTACGCGTTTCATCGGGTTTAGTGTCTCTAGCTGCAACTGGTTTCTTTTTGGATTTATCCTTTTTGGATTTGGTTTTGCCAGATTGACTCAAATCGTCAACTTGGTTCTTTGACATTTCCAGAGAAGCATTATCTATTTCTGTTACTGAAGGAGCCTTTGATTGAGATTTTTGGTCGTCTTGCTCAGGAACTGTGGATATGGTATCTCTCGACAGAGAATTCTCATCCTCTTTCTTAGGAACTTCGATCGTCTTTTCTACTTTCACTTGAACAGATGCAATCGCTTCTTTCTTTGCGATTTCCGAGGTGTCGATTCCCGCGACTGGTATTTCAGTAGATTCGGGAGTGATTTCCTCAACAATTATAAGCTTAGGATGTTGATCATCTTTGCTACGCGTTTCATCGGGTTTAGTGTCTCTAGCTACAACTGGCTTCTTTTTGGATTTATCCATTTTGGATTTGGTTTTGCCAGATTGACACAAATCGTCAACTTGGTTCTTTGACATTTCCAGAGAAGCATTATCTATTTCTGTTACTGAAAGAGCCTTTGATTGAGATTTTTGGTCGTCTTGCTCAGGAACTGTGAATTTGTTATCTCCCGGCAGAGAATGCTTATCCTCTTTCTTAGGAACTTCGATCGTCTTTTGTACTTTCACTTGAACAGATGCAATCGCTTCTTTCTTTGCGATTTCCGAGGTATCGATTCCCGCGACTGGTACTTCAGTAGAATCGGGAGTGATTTCCTCAGTAGTTATAAGCTTAGGATGCTGATCATCTTTGCTACGTGTTTCGTCTGGTTTAGTGTCTCTAGCCTCAACTGGCTTCTTTTTGGATTTATCCTTTTTGGATTTGGTTTTGCCAGATTGACTCAAATCGTCAACTTGGTTCTTTGACACTTCCAGAGAAGCATTATCTATTTCTGTTACTGGAGGAGCCTTTGAGTGAGGAGATTTTTGGTCGTCTTGCTCAGCAACTATGGATATGTTATCTCTCGGCAGAGAATTCTCATCCTCTTTTTTGGAAACTTCGATCGTCTTTTCTACTTTCACCTGAACAGATGCAATCGCTTCTTTCTTTGCAACTTCTGAGGTATCGATTCCCACGACTGGTACTTCAGTAGATTCCGGCGTGATTTGCTCAGTAGTGATAAGCTGAGGATGCTGATCATCTTTGCTACGTATTTCGGCTGGTTTAGTGTCTCTAGCCTCAACTGGTTTCTTTTTGGATTTATCCTTTTTGGATTTGGTTTTGTCAGACTGACTCAAACCGTCAACTTGGTCCTTCGAAACCTCAGTAGCTGTGACGACGGCAGTGGTTGACACCTCCTTCTCAGGAATTGTGTCTCGTTCTTTAAGAATTTCCAGGGAAGCATTATCTATTTCTGTTACTGGAGGAGCCTTTGATTGAGATTTGTCATTCTTCTTCAAGCTCTTCTTATCTGTTTGCTCTTTTGGCACAGTTGTTGATTCTCCTGCTGGTGTTTTTTCCTCCTCGTTTATACCCTCTCTTTCAAATTTACCAGAGAGTGTCTCTGGTAAAATTTCTACAGTAGTCGGTGCAGGAACAGTCGTTTCGCATTTGCCAGATTTTTTATCTTTCTTCTTGTTCTTTTTGCTCTCGTATTTGACTTCTTCTCTTGGCTGCGCATTTTGCACCTTTAATTCCTGCGTCGACTCTACTGTTTCCGCAATTAAAGGAACAGAATCAATCTTCACTTCTGGTATTTCAATTTTAGTTTCAGTCTTGGATTTTTTAGACTTCTTCTTCTTTGATTTTGTGCTACTGCCCAATTCTTCCACGGCTGTTTCTTCTTTGACTTCCTCCAGATTCACGGAAGATGATTCTTCTTCTTTGGTTTCCTTCAGGGGCTGCGGAGTGGGGTTTACCTCCTCCACGATTGGTGGAGATTTAATTTCATGTAAACCTAACATTGGGGTGGACTTCACATCTCCTGTATCAGCTTTCTTCCCCTTCTGTTTTTTATTCTTGCTCTTCCCGTGGGATGACTGTGTTGTTTCCTGGGGTTTCGGATCTTCCACTGTTTTCGGGATTATCGCTTCAAGTTTAATAGCATCTGGTTTAGGCTTCTCCTCTTTCTTCTCTAGTTCTTTCGGTTTTTCGACTTTATCTTGAGGTGTTGGAGGTTTTTCCTTGCCCTTCTTATTCTTTTCCTTCTTGGAAGTTACAGAATCTTTACAACTTTCATTTTCTTGTTTCACATCGAAGAGTGTATCTTTTGTTTCCAACGAATGTGGAAGTTTTTCGGACGAGTTTTTAGTTACATCTTCTCGAGTTTGCGACGAGTTTTCACGCCTCGCACTCCTCGAACGCGATCTTGATCTTCTTGATCGCAATTCTCGTCGGTTTACAAACTCCATGAAGCCTTGATCGTCAACCGTCACCACGTTCTCTATTGGTTCAGGCGCAAGGATCTCTTCAACAATAATCTGAGGGGTTGATTCTGATGGTATTTGTGGTTTTTTAGTGAGAGGGCATTCTGGGACGTTTTGCGGGACGTTCATTTGATTTTTCGCAACAATCGAAGCCCAAGAGCCGCCAATTTCCTCATCGAGGTGAGCAGGTAAATTGAGCTGAGGGTGATCTTGAGGATCCTCAACTTCATCAGCCCAAGAGGCGAGTGTTTCTGAAGGAATTTTTGGAGCGTCAACGACGGAAATCGTATGAGATGTTTTCCGATCCTCGGTAATAGAAATTTCCTCACGGGATTGAGGATTTTCGTCTGAAGTTTCATGGAGTCCGCAAGGACGAAGGGGTTCTGGTTTTACGATGTCAGTGTCTATTCTTCGATTCTCAATAGTTTGAGGAGAAGAACTGTCGGATTGACCCACCACTGCAGCGAAAGATTTGTCCCAAGTGTGTGAGGTTTCTTGCTCCGACGGAGTAGGACTTGATTTTTCAATGGAAGTCTCTTCCGGAATTTCTGCTCCTTTTTGAGATTCTAGTTTCATATCTTTCCTCTTTATCTTTTTCGTCTTTCTGCGAGTGACTGCAGCGGGTTGAGCCACAGGTGAATCTAAAGTATCAATGGTTGAATCAGGGTTGGAGGATGGGGTTGAAGTTTCCACTTGAGTTTCAGCCTTTGGTTCATCTTCTGGTGGTGATGTGGAAGTTAGCTTCTCAATATTTTTTATGCTCTCGAGTTCATGGTTAATGAATTCCGCCGTTTTCGTGCTCACGATAGAAGCCCATGATTTTCCATTTGAATTGATTGGGGTTTCGATTTCTTCTGGTTCTTGAGACACCGTTGGGTCAACTGTTTTACTTGTGTCTTTTGTTGGCTTTTCTTCAGACACTTGGCTCGTTTTTTCAGTAGATTTCTTCGTTTTTTCTGATTTTGCTTTTTGTTTAGATTTTTCTGGGGATTTCTCAGGTAATTTACATTCAAGTTCTCCAGTTGGCTTCTCCAAGTCAACAGGTTTTTCAGTGGATTTTTCTGTCGTAGAATTTTCTTCTTCTAGAGGAACCACAGCCCCTTGTCCTGCAGATTTTTCAACTGATTTTTGGACATGCGTTCTATCCGATTTCGTCGGTTTTTTATCTGACTTGTCAGCAGACGATTCGACCGGCTTGTCATGAGGCGTTGAAGGTATCTTCGGTAAGTCCTGAACAATCTCGCCTTTTTCATCGGGTTGTGTGAGTTCACTGGACTTCGGAAGCTCCTGGGTTGCCGTTGAAAGTGGTTCATCGTTCTTCTGCCCTGGAACGACTTCCATTAATTTCGCCTCAGTTATTGTTGTGACCAATTCCGTCAAAGTTTTAACACATTGCCGTGGAATTTTTTCTGTGTCTTTTTGCGGTGTTTCAACGAGCTTCTCTGAAGATTTTCCTGTTTCTTTTCCGCCTGATGGATTTGCCTCAGCAATTGGGTCATCAGTTGTAGCTTTGATGGCTGATAGATCAGATTTCATAGGGCTTTCTTGAGACCCTTCAGGTTTACTCATTTCTGATATTCCATCCGATGTTTTTATTGCAACCTCCACAGACGCAGTAGTGGCTTTCTTTGTTTTTTTTCCTTGTTTTTTGTTCTTCACCGATTCTTCAGGAACTGAAACCGTCTCCAACTTTTCAACTCCATCTTGCTGAAGTGTCTCCTTTGAAGACTCTTCCAATTTCTCCGGTTTTTCTGTTGATTTCTCCTTATCTGTATCTTGACTCTTTACAATGGGCCCTTCTTCTAGTGATTTTTCACTGGGGCCAGATTTTTCTTCCACTGCTATGCACATCTCATTCGTTTTCTCTTGTTCTGATTTTGATTTCACAGAGAGTTCTTCAGATATCTTCCCAGAAGACTTTTTTGCCTCTTTCGGTGACTTAGAGGGAGCCACAGAGGGCTGTGCCGTTAATGCTTTTTCTCCAGATTTGACACCATTTTTTGGAGATTGTGGAATATCATCGAAGCCGTCATCTTCGATTACCATGGGCTCATCCAATATGCTCAACCAATCGTCATCAGCGATCAGATGAACTCCTTTCGGTTTCTCCTCTTTCATTACGATTTTCGGTTTTTCAATTTCCAACGTCTCCTGTTCAGTTGCCGCAATTGTTGATTTTCTGTCTGAGGATTCAATTTTTTCTGGAACATGGGTTGCCTCAACACACTGTTTTTCAAAATGTTTCGTATCTGAGATCGCATGTTTCGATGGTTGTTCTAATAAAACTGGAGGTTTGTCTTGAGCTTCTGAAGTTTTCACTGGTTTCTGAAGCTTTTCGGAAACCTTCTCTAGTGGTCGTTTGCCTTCCGGTTCAGTGAGTCTCTTTTTTGGTTCCTGAATGGCCTTTTCTGTCGGTTTAGGTTCAACTTCCGTCACTTTCGTTATCGACTCTTGAACGATTCTCTCCGGACCACTAGATTTCGGTCCATCCGATGACGACACCGGAGCTTGCGGTTCTTGGAGGATTTGGACCACTTTGAAGTGTTGGTAAAAGTAACTCTCGGCTTCCGAATACTGATGATAGTGCATCCAATAAGGTTGGAGGAAATGATCAGACATTAAATTGCTGGCCAAGTCTGTGGATTCCGTTTTTTGTGACTCAGCTTGTTGTTTAGATTCCTCGACATGAGAAATGTGTTTGGTTGCTCTCTCTGCATCAAGCAGTTTCAAAGAGGATACTTTTTGTGATTTTCGGGAAATTGAATCATCACCCTGGGAGGTATTTTCTTTTGATAGTTTTTCTTGTTCTGTAGCCTTATCACTCAGTAATTCCACAGGTCTCTCAGTCCTTGAAGTATTCATTTCTTTCTCTTTCAAAGCCACAGCCACAGATGACCCTTTCATTTCTGTGACTAATTGCTTGAGCTCCTCAGCAATAAACGCTCTAGACGAATCAGCCTCCTTCTGCGGAAGGCTACACCCCATGTACCTCGCGATCTCTTCGTCTTCAGCACAACTCTCAGTCTTTTGTATTTGAACAGTTTCTTTGTCTTCTTCGACAGAGGAAGAACTCATCGATTTTGTTTTGGTTTTCCTCCTATCCTGGACGCTTCCAAACAATGGTGAATCATTGCCTTTAATCTCAAATTCTGGTTTGTCTTTAATTTGATCCACTTCAGTAATTATATCGGATTTTTGTGCGTTCTCAATGGTTCCTACTTTGTCAACAACTAGAGGAGATGTAAGAGAAGGAGTCACGTCACTAGAAAGCTCATAAGAAGAACCCTCAGATTTCTTACTCTCATTAGAAGATGTGGTTCCAGGTGGTATACGACAAGCCATCTGCTCAACCACTTCTTGAGGTGGTGGTTGAACCATAGCGTAAGTAGTTGTCAGCGAAGCTTCAACGCTAGCTGGCCTCAACTCCACTAATTCCTCGACCTTAGTAGTGTTGGAGAGAGGAACATTTTCCAGTATTTCCACAGATTTAGCGGATTTTACGTTAGGAGGAAGAATTTCTTCACTTCCTGTTTTTGTTGTCTTTACGGTTGTCACAGTTGTCTCGATGATCATTGCTTTACCCACTTGTGATTTTGTGACAGCTCCTTTAATATCTTTAGCATGCAGCTCTTCAACTTGAGAGGCTTTCGGTCTATTTTTTCCATTGACTGGAATTTCTGAGACAGTTGAGGCAGAGACTGTCTTGGGTTTAGAGGCAGATTTCTTGGCATCACCTTTGCTCTTGATCTCTGTGTGTTCTTTTGACTCTACAATGATCATCGGAGCAATTTGCTCAACTATTACGTTTTCTTCGCTTGGTTTTTTCGATTTTAAAAGCTGTTTTGGTTTCTCTTTCTGAGTAACTGGTTCAGGTATCGCAATTTGCGGATGTTTTGATTTTTCTTCGTGAACGGGTTCAGGAACGAAGATCGATTCTTTTGATTCTGCAGAAATATCAACAGGTTTGACTCCTGTTTTCGGACCACCAGACTGATCTTGAGGGTCGGGTATATTCTCTGGTTTGGTATAAAGAAGCTCTTGTATTGGGAGATTTATTTGTGAACTTCTAGCTTGTATGGAAGGTTCATTCGACTCTTGATTTTCGGTTTTCATTTCCAACGGTACAGAACATTCATTTTCTATAAATAGTTTCTCCTCGTGAGGAGTGGGTGCTGCTTGCTCCTCTGATTTGGGCTCGAGCACTTCTTTCATGATTTGTTTTTCGTCTACTTTAGGCGCTGCATCGTCTGATCTAGCAAGATCTTTCCCCTCAGCTATGGTGAGTTTTTCTTCGAGTTTGATTTCACGCTTCTCCTCAGATTTTGTTAAAGGCTTCATGTCCGATTTCATTGGGAATTTATCGTCAATCTTCATTTCACATTTTTCCGCATCTTCTGGCAGAGGGTTTTCCACTTGTTTTGAGATTTGTTTCTTTGACAATTCCTCTTCGAGTGTGACACCAACTTTTTCGTGAGGTCTAGCCTGAGCTTTGTCCGAAGCTTTGTTAGGTTTCGCTTGTGGTTTTTCTTCAGGTTTCGGTGGAGACTTCTTTTTAGATTTGGTTTTCTGGTGAGATTCATCTACTGATGGTGGGTGAGATTTCTCATCCGATTCCATGCGGGATTTCACCTCTAATTTTGAATTCTCATCAGATTTGATTTCCGGCTTATCTTCGGGGATCATTTCAGCCTTATCTTCCAATTTCTTAGGGGATGTCTCGTTTGCCTTTGGTTTTTCTTCCATATTCAGTCGAAGTTTTTCCTCCGATTGAATTTTGGCTTTCTCTTCTGATTTTAAAGTTTCATCGACTGTAGGTTTCTCTGGAAGTTTTTGTTGGGATTCCTTTCCGGATTTGGTTTTTATTTGAGATTCGTCTACTAATGTTATTTGAGATTTCTCATCCGATCCCATAGGAGATTCCTCTAATTTTGCAATAGCTTTCACCTCTAATTTTGAATTCTCATCAGATTTGATTTCCGGCTTATCTTCGGGGATCATTTCAGCCTTATCTTCCAATTTCTTAGGGGATGTCTCGTTTGCCTTTGGTTTTTCTTCCATATTCAGTCGAAGTTTTTCCTCCGATTGAATTTTGGCTTTCTCTTCTGATTTTAAAGTTTCATCGACTGTAGGTTTCTCTGGAAGTTTTTGTTGGGATTTCTTTCCGGATTTGGTTGTTATTTGAGATTTATCATCCGATTCCGTACGGGATTCCACGTCTAACTTTGAATTATCAGCAGATTTCATTTCTACCTTTTCCTCAGGCATCATTTGAGCCTTTTCTTCCAATTTCTTAGCGGATGTCTGGTCTGCTTTTGGTTTCTCTTCTATATTTAATCGAAGTTTTTCCTCCGATTCAATTTTGGCTTTCTCTTCTGATTTTGAAGTTTCGTCGGTTATAGATTTTTCTTGAAGTTTTTCTTGGGATTTCTTTCCAGATTTGGTTTTTATTTCAGATTTGCTTTGAGATTTGTCTACTAATATTGTTTGAGATTTTTCATCCGATTTCATACGGGGTTCCTCCTCTAATTTTGCAATGGGTTTCCCCTCTAATTTTAAATTCTCATCAGATTTAATTTCCACCTTTTCCTCAGGTATCATTTGAACCTTTTCTTCAAATTTCTTAAGAGATGTTTGGTCTTCTTTTGGTTTCTCTTTCATCTTCAATGGAACTTTTTCCTCTGATTCAATTTTGGCTTTCTCTTCTGATTTTGAAGTTGCATCGACTGTAGGTTTCTCATGAAGTTTTTGTTGGAATTTCTTTCCAGACTTGTTTTTTGTTTGAGATTTCCTTTGAGACGTATCTACTGATGTTATTTGTGATTTCTCATCCGATTCAATTCGGGATTCGTTCTCTAATTTTGCGTTTAGTTCCTTTTCTAAATCCGGCTTTGCATCAGATTTTACCACCATTTTTTCTTTAGATATCGTTTCAGCTTTTTCTTTCAATTTCTGCGGGGGTGCTTGGTCTGATGTCGTTTGGACTTTCGTGTCTAATTGCACCGTTTTCTCATATTTAGGCGTCTCTTGAGACTTTTGTTGAGATTTGCCTGCGAGTTTGGTTTTCTTCTGAGATATTATTTGTGATTTCTCTTCAGATTTTATGTGAGATTTTTCTATAACTGGTGCTACTGATTTTTCCTCGGATTTCGATATGTCTGGTTCCGCCCTAGCCTCAGATTCCACACCGACCCTCATCTCTGGACTCTCTTCCGATTTTAATTCACATACCTTTCCTAATTTCGGTTCGACTTTTTCATCTGATTTTATCTGAAGTATCGCTTTCTCTCCAGATTTTGCTTGCCTTCCCTCTTCAGATTGAGATTGAAATTTGCTCTCTGATTTCTTCTTCTGCTGAGACTTGGTGCGGGACTTCTCTCTACTTTTTGTCTCTGATTTTTCTTCAGATAATATTGTTTTGGTAGTCTCCTCGAATTTCATTTCAGATTTCTCCTCAGATTTTGGATTCTGATTTTTGTCCACTTCCTTCTTTTTTCCATCAGATTTTTTCTCCACCTTGGTTTTACCATCTGATTTTGTCAGAAGATCCTCATTAGATTCCATTTTCTCCGAGGGCTTCATTTGCGATGTCTTTTCCATCTTAATTTCAGTCTTCGCTTCGGCTTTGGATTTTACTTGCGATTTTTCTTCCGTTTTTGTCTGCAATTTCTCTCCAGATTTCCCATCAACGATTTTATCTTGACGAGATCCTTTCCCTTTATTTTTAGATTTGCCCTTGGGTGCTTCTGGCACCCCTGGCTCTTTGGCGTCTACCGAGTCTCCTTCAACTTTGATTACTTTACTCTTTTCAGATTTTCTTTTGGGCTGTGACACTTCGCCTTTTTCAGCAATTTTTTCTGCCTCAGTTTCTGTTTGAGACTTTCCTTCCAGAGTTTTCTGATCCCTCTCACCCTGTCCTTTAACCCTCTTATCCATAATCTCAATTTCCTTCAGAGCCTTATCAATTTCATCATCATGAGATCTCTTTTCGGTTTTCTTCTTCTTTTGCTTACGTTTTTTTTGAGTTTGAACTTCACACGATTCTATCTCTTCCCCCTTCAGCTCTATCGTCACATCCTCCTTGATGTGCTTGACCTCAACGACAGGTACAGATTTTTCGACTTTCTCCATTAACATTTCATCCGCCACCACTCTGTGAACTTGTATATCTTCAGATCTTTCTCGCTGTTTCTTTTGCTTCTTCTCCTTATGCATCGGTTCCGCTCGGACTGGAGATTTCTCTGGAGCTTTTCTCCTCGAATCTTTCTTTTTAATCGTATCCCAATTTTTATCCTTAGACTTTTTCGGCGTTCCAACTTCCTCCTCCAACACATTTGGCAGTCTGCCGTTTCCTCTATTGAGCTTAGATTCAACCGGTGTGACCTCATGAGGAGAATGCGCACGTCTAGCTGCGTCTGTGCCGCCACTTTGAGGCGAAACAAGGACCGCAGGTAAGCCTGTGGATAAAATTTTCGCGTAAGATATGGAAGGCCCTCTCACATCGCTCTCTGCTTCCACAATAGCCGACTGCTGAGTATTTTCTCTACTCTCTTCAGTCAATACCAGCTCTCTAGGTTCAGCAGTTTCCCTAGGCTTAGAAGCCTCAATGATTTCTGGTACCATCACAGGACTCTGAACGTCCGCAAGTCTCGGCTCTGGAGGGATTTCAGGGGTTTCCATGGGAATTGGTGGCTCATGGTACAGAATCTCCGGTTCCGGACACTGCTGCTGTGGCACTTGTTGATACACCCCAGTAGTCAAATAACTCTGAGACGAGACGTAATGATCATCGCTGTATCCCATGTGAGTTTCGTAAGGGTTCAGCTGCACCTCCATTGCGGGGACCTGCTGATGCCCCTGAGGATACATGTAAGAGCCCACTGGATATCCCCCCAACCCCGCATTAATGAACCCCACTAATTCAGGCATAGGGTGCATGTAGCTGTACACCTCGGCCTGAGGCGCCTGGGGAATTGCTTCATATCCTTTATTAAGTACTTGGTAATTGTCCATGGGACTCTCAGCCCAGGATTCCGTCATCACTGGTGCGGCAGCTGCTTGAGCTTGCTCAGGAACCTGACTCATTTCCCGATAAGACATGTCAACATCTCTTCCAGGGTGATGCTGTCCATGGCGAACAGACATTTCTCGTCCCGCGTCTGCAGTCTCCATTCCTTGAGGTCGAACATCTGTGACTTCTGGTTTACTTTCAACTGATAATTTCATCATATTTGAATCCTGCTCGATAGTCACCGCTGCGAACGGGCCCTGGACATTGCCTCTCAGAATTTCAGCGTATGAAGTGGATCCTGGGATCCAGATGGGACTTGGGGATCTTCCTCTGCGTGGCTCCCTCGGAGCCAGTGTTCCAGACTCTGAGGACTGAGTTCTATGAGAATATTCTTGTTGCGCCGGAGCCTCGTCAAGAGTTACTTGAATTTCAACAGCTGGAGACTTTGGCTGTTCAATTTTCCTTGTGGGAGATCTTCCACGACGTCCTGATTGCTGATTGCTTGCGGTTGCTCTAGTTCGCTTAGAGGGCTCCTTGGATACCTCGCGTTTCGCGACTTTCTCGGCTTTCTCTTGAGACTTGGGATGAGCTGTTTTTTCTTGTTTCGATTGATCGTGGGATTTAGGAAGTCTCGGCTGTGGACGAACTCCAACGGGACGATGGATTTTAGGGGTTGTTGTTGTGTCAAGGGACATATTTTGTGGACTTCTGTAGGGACTGGCATTTCTAGAGGCATTTCTAGACGTGGGACTTGATCTACCAGCTGCAATGTCAGCGTATGAAACTAGACCAGTGATTTTAATTGGACTCTGGTCACCGGGTGGCGAATAGAACGGATCCAGGGTGTGAATTTCATCCATCAGCACTCTCGATCGTTGACTCCAATCGTCGATTTGCGTCTGTAAGGCCTGTATGCGACACAGCGCAACAGCCAAAGAACATCGATAACATGAATTTCAGATTGTTTTTTTTTTGCAAAATTTTCTTAAGCGGTTTGAGAGAGGGGGTAGGGATTTCTTCTAAAACGCTGACGTTTCTCAATGTTTCATCAAAGGCACTTTATTTATTTGATAATCGTCACTCGACATAGCGTTGATTATTCGATAATAAGAAATATCTATAGAAAAATTATTAGACACTAGGGAGTCTGATTGACGTATCACGACGCAGTAAGTGGAAAAGAATATTGGCAAGAATGTTAAGAATTATGAATCATTAATTTTAGCGACGGGAGATGAGGCTCAGCGTGAGTTCTCGAGTCCCAAAAGAAAAGTAAATATCATTTTTCCAAGTACTATGGATCCAACGGCTCAATATCGGGTGTTCCACGTTGTATCAGTAATTTCGAGCGTTCTGTGCGTGAGTGAATTTTACTTTGAAGTGATCTTATCCTCTCGCGATAAGTCTTGTCCGTCAAAAGAAAAAGTGTTGGAGAATGATTTTGCATTGCAGAGAGAGAGAGAGAGAGAAAGAGAAAAAGGAAGAGGCAGAGGAAAATTGGAGTAGTAGAGAAGAGGCAATTTGGTGTTTGTTTTGGATGTTTTGTTGATGATGATGGTGATGATGATGATTATGATGAAGGGATCACGAAGATCAGTGGAGGAAGGGGGGACGGAGAAAAGGCAGCAAACAAAATTCATAAATGAAATGCTCAACGAAACAAAAGGTAGAGTAATGAAAAATATCTTCAAGTATTTGACTAAAAATATCATTTCCAGGAGATGTAACTTGATTGTGCCGTCTGTTGCCTTTCAGTGAATTTTAATATTGAATTTCATCAAAGAACGTTTGTTTCTTTGACCGGAAGACGAGGACGGTGACAGTGAGAAGTAAGATTTTTTTTTTCATCTGTAAATTATTGTGTGACTCATGTATATCGGTTTTTGTACACATTGTGATCATCACTCACTGTTTTATTTTTACCGACATAAATTGAATAATGACAAAAAAAAATTTTAATATGAAAAAAACGTTAACACAAACAAGCAAAATCAAGTACTCTCGTGAGATAACAGAAATAACAAACAAACTTAATGACTAAAGTGAAAATAATTAGAAAAACTTCACAATGAGATACCAACCAATAACCTTATGCTTGAGATGATGTGTTGGGGATCAATGTATTATTAATGATTGTTAATTAGTTAATGGTTTAATAATGTCACAATGTTGAAAATGTTTTTATAGTCTAATCTAACAGGTAAGTGTTAATGTGCTGACAGTGTGAACAAATATGGACCCGTGTAGACGTAAAAGCCATAGTGATTGTGAATAAGTGATTGGGAAATAGTGGACGGGCTTAGAAGAATATTTCATGATTTTTTCTGCAATTGAGTGAGAAAATAAAGGGATTTCCAGAGGTTGTTATTGAATTAAAATGGAATATTCTTCTTGACCAACGAAAAAGGGTAAATTACTGGGTTTACAGATTTAGGCCCGGGTGGATTATCTTTCGAACTCGATTCTTTTTCCACCTTCATAATGTTGAATATATCACAATTTCCATTGGATTTTACATCACGCAGGAGTCCCTAACAATTATGATTATACAATCAAAAAAAGGGGAAAAAAACTGAACATTTTCAAAGAGCGTTTTTAACCCCTCACGGGAGGGGCCCTTTTGTTTCCAAGCGTGGAGTACGGTCGATACAACTAGAATGGGATGACTTCTAATCAACGGAAAATTATGAAACCGATATGTAATTGAAGCAACAGTATTCCTTTTTTCGTTGTTATTTGTTTGGTTGAGCTGAATTCCGTAGTTTTGGAAATAATCAATTTTAAAGAGAGTCATTCATATTTTCATGGGTCGATGTATGGCATCGACCCCGTACGTGAGGGGTTAATAGTAAGAAATTAATATTAAGAAAGATTAAGAAATAAGTCCGATAGAGAGGAAATAGTGAATGGATAATTTCTCATGATAACTAACGATCTGACAGCCATTAGATACATCATATTATTAATTTGTAATTTCTTCCCTATTGGGTTTACACGTATGAAAAAATTCAAACGAAAACCTAGCGAATTCACGAGAAAATTCTATTGGAATTCTATAGGAATTCTATGGAGTTTCTGTAGGATTTCTACTGGAATTTTATTGAAAAATTCTATTTGTTTTTTGCGCCGATTCTATTGGATATTCTATAAGAAAAAGTCAATGGATTTCGAATTTCTGTTTGAATTTTTCGCTTGAGATTTTTTCTATAAAAATGCTTGGGCATCAATTTTCTAAGTTTTTTCCATTCGGTTTCTGCAATGCAAGACAAAACAAAATCCAACGGAAAAAATTTAGAAAATTTGTGCCCAATAATTCTAATAGGAAAAATCTAAGAGAAAAATTCAAACAGGAATTCGAAATCTGTTGCCTTTTTCTTATTAAATATCCAATAGAATCAGGGCAAAAAACAAATAGAATTTTTCAATAGAATTCCAATTGAAATCCTATAGAAACCCCATAGAATTCCTATAGAATTCCAATAAAATTTTCCAGCGAATTCATTAGATTTTCTACTGAATTTTTTCATGCGTGTAGTTTCCAATATTATTCAAAACCGCTCTTTGAAAATGTTCAGCTTTTTTTCAACGTTTTTTTCATTGCACAATCGTAATTTTTGGAGACTCCAAGGCTACGGAAAACTGAATAGCAATTGGAGATCATTTCAGATTATCAAAATGAAAAAAAAAACGATCAAGATCACGTTCGAAAGATAATCCATCCGGGCCTTGACATGAATTTCCATCCTGGAAACACCTTGATGAACAAGCTGAACGTCATCTTCCACCTTACTCTCTCCTCAAAAAGCATCAAAATGTTTCCAACAGTCTAACGAAGAAGTGAATTAAGTCAGTAACAAAATTAGTATCATCTCTACTGTTACACTCTAACCAACTGTTTGTCATTAATAAAAAAAAAACGTTATTAAAACGTGAGTTTAGTTTCACCGCGTAATCGTGAAGAGGCAGGAGTTCATCTCCCGTCGGTATTAAATACTGGGGTCACTTGATTGGTATCAAATATTATGAAAACTGCGTCAGCGCATAAATAAGGTGCAGGTGATGATTAAAAGGATAAGCACAAGATAATCGTAATGACAAACCTACCTGTTGTTCTTGCATTGCCGTTTCACGGTCATTTGGTAGATAAGTCGGACTGAGAGCAGCCCTCAGTTGCTGTTCAACTTGGACAATTTGATGTCTCAGTTGTTGTATTTCCTAGAAATGAATAAAACATTGTCTCATGCTGTTTAATTCTGTAAAACCGATAATGTACGAACGCTAACCTGTTGATACTGATCGATTTGTACCAAACAACTCTCTAACGAAGACGCCTGTTCCTTAACGATTTCATTAAGAGTATTCAATTCGCTGACTATTTCATCAGCATTATCATTGATTTTAGTGTCAGCAACGAGTCCCGACTTGAAGTGCACCTCAAGTTTTTCAACCGACATTGCAATTTTAGTTTTCTGAATTGTAACATCACTCAGCATTTTCTCTCTAATCGCATGCTGATCTCTCAACGGTTTCTTCTTGTTCTGTTGGGATTCTAAATTCTGTCTTGCCTTCTCTAACCAACTCTTAGCGTCCTTCAACTTCTTTTCACACTGATCCCACTCCTCGCTGGCTTCTTGGAGCAGTGCATTCTGAAATAATTTCGTCAACAAAAAATGCTTTTTCCAAATACAATTTCTGCCCAATTCTAGAGCGAAGCGCTAAAACCATTCAAGTCGACTTGGCTCTCCGCGGAGTTTTCGGGGAATATCTTCGAATGTCAGGGAGATAGGGAAATTTTCATAAGGACCTCTTTTGTAGCTCTCCACTCGTTCTCCAAAAAATTTTATAACGAAAATTTTGCTATCTGCCTTAGATTTCGAGATATTCACTCAAAACGGATTAATTGTCAAAACTGACTCAAGGATATCTCCAAGTTTTTTCCAAGTACTTTGGCTATTTTTGCTCCAGTGAAATGCTTTTCTACTTTTGTAGCCGGACATGATTTTACTATTTAAACTTTGCTATCTCCATATTGAACCGTTAGAAAACATTTAAAAAATCCCAAAGAAAATTAGAAAGTTTACTTTTCAAGAAAGATCGATGAAATTACCTCCATTTTCCACAAAAATCATTTGTTCCGAATCCTAATAAATTTATTCAGATTCAGACTATTACCAGAAATCGATTTTATGCTTGAAAAAATAAGATTTCCGAAAGTTTAAACAATTTCAATTATTTATTTACAATCAACGAATGTTTAAAAAAATAATAATTCATAATTTTTTCTCAAATCCCTGGAAAATGGATTAAACCCCGAGTTAACTCTGGGTCAACTCTGGGTTTATGGAAAAAAATCCAGCGAAGAAAGAGAGAAACTCTGGGAAATTTTCGTGATCCCAGAGAAACTATGACCCAGAGTTAACTATGGGTTTGATTCATCAGGGGTTTTTCTCACGCAATTCAACTGACAAACAGCAGAAGATACTTGGATATCCCTAAGCCGTTTTACCGCTTCGCTACTGAATGATTTTGATTAGTCAACTAACCCTCTGCAATAATTGACCCTCAACCTCGACTTTGGCTTCTTCAGCCTGTGTAAGTTTCTCTGGCAAATCTCCAACGCTTGTAAACTGACCGATCAGTTCCAACTCCTTACCCATGTCACTCAGATTTTTGTTGACTTGTTTGCAGCTTTTAACAGCGGTCTACAATACGAACGAACAAGTTTAATCGTCATCATGTTGACTACGTTTGCCAGCCCTGAATCCCTAAAAACCTACCGAGTAATCATGCAGTCTTTGTCTAGTTTGAACGAGTGACGTGAGCCTCAGTGGTTCCTGGAGGAATATCCTCTTCTCCTCTGTCCAAGCTCTGACAGCTTCGTAGAGAGCGAGGAATCTCTGCCAGGCATCAAGAGTATCACCGACCTGCTGCTTCTTCTCCTCCAGCCACGATCTTATCTGTCCCAATTGCTCAGTCAGATTTGAAATTGTTTTGCGAATTAATTCTCGCTCCTCGTCGTCCCTCGTGTTCTCCACGATGGTCTGTCCATTTTTCGTCAATCTCTCGAGTTTGTCAGCCATAGCTGTGAGTTCCGATTGAATTTGTCGAAGGGATTCCCTGAGTTTCATTGGCTCGACTGATCTGTCTTGAACCTTGAGTTCAGCCTGGCGTATCCATGCTTGAAGCTCATCGACGTCTGATAAATAATCACCCCTTATTGTTCGCGCTCGCTTCTGCTCCCTCTGTTTCTCCTCCATCGCTTGTACTGCGCTCTCAGCGTTGAGCTCTAGGGATGTCAATTGCTGAGCCAAATCACTCGGCACCAGCTGTTGGCTAGCTTGGTACCGCGCCTTAGTGCTACCGGAGAATCTCTTTACTGTGTCCACAAGCTCAAATAGACTCTCTCTCAGGTGGACTATTGAGTTCTCAATGTCCTCTTGATCCGATCCAAATACGTAGAAGATTACGATGCGCTGGTGAAGCTCCTCCAGGCGTTGTTGGAGCTGGCGGACTTGTCTCTCGTCGTGATCGAGGGATTCCAAGTCACCTCGGGCCTTTTCCGATTTTGAACGGAGAGACGTGACGAGCCTGAAAGTTTTTTATTATTCTCCTCGGTTCTTCAGAATCAGTGGATTTTCGATTGACTGATAACGCTCGTCAGTAATTCCGAGGTTCCAATGAATGTGAATTAAAGTGGCCGGAGTTTTTTCCGCATTGGAAAATTCTCGAATATTTTTCCTTGTCTATTTTCTTTTGGAATTTTTCGCCGGAGTTTTTTTACCTTTGAAAAATTCCCGGAAATATTTCCCGGCAATTTCTCCGCAGCGAATTCTTCTCGCAGAATTAATTTTTACCATTGGGATTTTGCTTCAAGTTTGTTTTCAGAAAATGCTAATTGAATTTTTTTTTCGTTCTTAGAAGGGAAAAATGGAAAAGTTTATCACGAAAATTGTCTTTTTTTTATTCGCGATTGTTTGATCAATTCGTCGGTTACCGATCAATGTTGATATGTGAATTTTAAATTCAATGAGATTTCATTCTTAGTCGGATCAGTTGAGTTTTGTTGTATTCAATAAAGATGAGTTCAGTAGCGAAGCGGTAAACCGGGTGAAGTCGGTTTTGACTTTTGGCGAGTTTTTGATTAATATCTCGAAATCTAAGAGAGATAGCAAAATTTGTCTCATGACCATTTTTATAACCCTCGACTGGCTCTACAAAAAAGGTTAAAACAAAAATTTTGCTATCTTTTTTAAATTCCGAGATATTCGTCGAGCAAATAAATATAACAAAAAAAAAAAAGAGATATTCGTCAAAAACTGGCCAATACTCAAAATCGACTTAACCCGGTTTACCGCTTGGTTCAAATGTGTCGAATTTAATATTTTCCAGGGAAATTTCACACGGGTTTTCTTCTCAGGGACATGGGAAATTTTCTTGGGAAAAATTTTGCAGAGAAAAAATTTTCCGGGAGATTTTTCGCAGGGAAAAAAAAATCCAGAAACCAATGTCATAATACTTGTGATTTTACAGACTTTCATTAATTCGAATCATTAAATGCCATTAGATATGCTAATATTGCAAATATGAGGTAATAACGCGTTCTTGTATCCGCGTTATTTTCGACGCGGGAATGAATCAAAAATAAAACTAGTCGTTGACCTAGAAAAATGTGGTAGTTTCGTATTTACAACTGAACAATTGGCGTGCGCTTTCCTAAACTCCAATAAATTAACCGAGAATAATACGAGTGATCGTTGGACAATCACGAAAGGACGAAAATTGTCATTACGAATTTAGAATCAGAAATATGCAGGAGCCCTCATCACTCGCGTCGACTTAGGTCTTCTAGAGGGCTGGCGTAACTCCTGGTATTACTTGTGGGGAAGAGAGACGGAGTGACTGGGCTAAAAGTAGACCGGTAAAAGTATGTTGCTTTGGCGCGCACGAGTTTCGGACACGGTGAATCTTCGTTTATATGGGAATCCACTTTATTTTTTTTCCATAAAAACATTTCTCGTCATTTTTGTCATAAAAATGAACTCCTCAAATTAACTTCGTTATTCGCGAAACTAAAGTACTGCATGACGAGATAAAATGGACGGAAGGAAGACGTGAGGGAATGCAAAAAATTCTGATCGTGAGAAAAACACCGGAAGCTTATGACATCACCATCAAAACTAGTTCCTATTCTCAGACTTGAAACATCAAAGACGGGTGGCAAAATCGTGCCAATGTCGAGTGACTGGGTTTTTCGTTGTTTCTGCGCGAGTTTAACGTGACATCATTCAAGTGATAAAGACGAAGGAGAACGAGGACTCGTCGATCTGGCACACGTTAGCGTATTTACACCCGTTGGGCATTATGAATCTATAATTACTCGTGAATTCCACGACTATTACTCCAATTTTTTTGATTCTCTTTCAATCGAATAGCTCAAGTCAATGGCATGTTGAGGGATTCTCAGCGATTCTGCGCAGTAGAGACGCGGGAATTTCGTCTGATCCGGCACCGACTCCTTCTACTCATTATTCAAATCCACTGGTACTTCTTTCACTTTTAATAGGCTCTTGACACAATCAATTACCTAGGAAATTTGCTCGAAAATATGCGCGAATCTCGTTCGTTATCTGGGAAAATATATAATACTCAACAACTTTTTCGTTATCTGGGAATTAAAGTTTTCTATTTCGCTCGTATTTCGGTAAAACAGTATGGCGCGGCACTAACAAGCCAAACAGCAGTGGTTCGCGGTTCGAAACGTATTGAAATACTGATGACAATTTTGGCTGTCTCGTTCCCCCCTCCATACGGCTTTATCCCAACAAACTACTTGCCCCTGTGCCAAGAGCAAACGCCAGTTCACTACGCATGCGGCGGGCACATTCGGCGTCTCCGGCTTCACGCACCCTAAAACATTAGGCGGTGATTTTTCCAACTGCCCGGTGATGCCACTGATGCAGACACCCAGTGGGTTAATAATAGGCTGTTCCAACGGAGACGAAAGTACTATTTATTGACATCCATGTTTTTTTAGAATTACTTTAAGGTCGAGTCGGTGTTAAATGCCAATGACTTTGTGCTTGTCAATTTTAAAAGTGATTGTTATAAATTTTTATATCGAAAGCATACAAATTCACCGGGAGATTCATGTTTCCCGGTTTGAGATATTCGTGTAAATAAATTTTATTGTTTATAATTAAGTATTACGCACTTGTTTGGGAACAACTATATTGTTGGTTGCGATCATATTTAAATTTAAAATAGTTTAAATTGTGAGACAAAAGGAATATTTATTGTCATCCGCGTTTTTTTAGAATTACTTTAAGGTCCAGCCGGTATTAAATGCCAATAACTTTGTGATTATCAATTTTGAAAATTATGTGTATAAACTATTACATCGAAAGTAAACAAGTTTAAGATTCATATTTCCCGGTTTGAGATATTCATGTAAATAAATTTCATTGTTTATAATTAAGTATTACGCACTTGGTTGGGAACAACTATATTGTTGGTTGCGATCATATTTAAATTTAAAATAGTTTAAATTGTGAGACAAAAGGAATATTTATTGTCATCCGCGTTTTTTTAGAATTACTTTAAGGTCCAGCCGGTATTAAATGCCAATAACTTTGTGATTATCAATTTTGAAAATTATGTGTATAAACTATTACATCGAAAGTAAACAAGTTTAAGATTCATATTTCCCGGTTTGAGATATTCGTGTAAATAAATTTCATTGTTTATAATTAAGTATTACGCACTTGGTTGGGAACAACTATATTGTTGGTTGCGATCATATTTGAATTTAAAATAGTTTAAATTGTGAGACAAAAGGAATATTTATTGTCATCCGCGTTTTTTTAGAATTACTTTAAGGTCCAGCCGGTATTAAATGCCAATAACTTTGTGATTATCAATTTTGAAAATTATGTGTATAAACTATTACATCGAAAGTAAACAAGTTTAAGATTCATATTTCCCGGTTTGAGATATTCGTGTAAATAAATTTCATTGTTTATAATTAAGTATTACGCACTTGTTTGGGAACAACTATATTGTTGGTTGCGATCATATTTAAATTTAAAATAGTTTAAATTGTGAGACAAAAGGAATATTTATTGTCATCCGCGTTTTTTTAGAATTACTTTAAGGTCCAGCCGGTATTAAATGCCAATAACTTTGTGATTATCAATTTTGAAAATTATGTGTATAAACTATTATACCGAAAGTATACACGTTTACGATTCATATTTACCGGTTTGAGATATTCATGCGAATAAAGTTCATAGTTTATAATTAAACATTACGCACGTGTTTGGAAACAACTAGATATTGTTGTCTACAATCATATTTAAATTTAAAGTAAATAGCATAAGTTGTGAGACGAAAGTAATATTTATTGTCATCCATGTCTTTTTAGAATTACTTTAAGGTCGAGCCGGTATTCAATGTAAGTAAGTTTGTGCTTGTCAATTTTAAAAATGATGGTTATACATTTTTATAGCGAAAGCATACAAGTTTGAGATTCATATTTCCCGCACGAAGAGAAATGTGCAGTAAAAATTAGAGAACTCTCACTTCACTCACCGATTACGGAATCGACTCAGAAAATTCAAGTGACGGTATCGTAATTTTTCACAAGAGATTCAGATAAATATTACGGAATGCTCTGGAAAAATTGCGTGACAGTTCCGTAAAATTTCCTACAACCACATTTCGCTCCGAAATTACGGAAAAGATACGTCATTTTTATTGAATATTTCTCTCCGTGCACCGATCACAGAATCGACTCAGAAAATTTAAGTGACGGTATCATAATTTTTCACAGCAGATTCAGATAAATATTACGGAACGCTCTGGAAAAATTGCGTGACAGTTCCGTAAAATTTCCTACAACCACATTTCGCTGCGAAATTACGGAAAAGATACGTAATTTTTGTTGAATATTTCTCTCCGTGTGGTTTGAGATATTCGCGTAAATAAATTTCATTGTTTATAATTAAGCATTACACACTTGTTTGGGAACAACTATATTGTTGTTTGCGATCATATTTAAATTTAAAGTAAATAGCTTAAATTGTGAGACGAAAGTACTATTTATCAACATCCCCGGTTTTTTAGAATTACCATGAGGTTGAGCCATTTTTAAATGCCAATAAGTTTGCGGTTATCAATTTTCAAAACGATGAGCAGAAACTATTATATCGAATTGCGTATTTTTTCTTTTTCGAGTTCTCGATTTCTCGACTTTTTTCGATAAAAAAACATAAAAGAATTCAGTAGTGAAGTGATCAGTCCGTTTAAGTCGACTTAGCTCCCAGTTGTTTTTGTTGAATAACTCGAAATTTAAGAAAGATAGCGAAATTTTTATAAGATCTTTTTCGATAGTCTTCACTTTCTTTCACAAAAAAGATTTTTAGCAAAATTTTGCCAATTCCTTCAGAATTTGAGATAATCATCGACAACTGGCGCTAGAATGCAATTGACTCAAACCGTTTAACCACTTTACTGCTGAATTGTTGACGAAAATAATCACCTCAGAGGCTCATCATGGAAATCCAATAGCCAACTCATTCTTCACATAAAATCCATAATATCACTGACAGAAAGAAAATGTCAACTTTAAAATTCTTCTGGAGTAATTCTACTTCTGCGAAACGCAGCTGTAGCGTCTTCTTCAATAGTTAAAGGTTGACTGAGTTGATCATAATGAATTTAAAGGAATCGTTAATTCCGCGGTCATCGACGGGAGGTGGGGAATCATGAGACAAATGCGAATGCCACGGTCGTCAGCCTTCACATAAGAGCACGACCTTTCTCTCGTCTCGTGCACATTTTATGTTTAAGTGAATTGCGTCATTGGACGGATTCGGTCATGACGTTTTCCATTTGTCACAGTCAACCGAAAGTATACGAGTTTAAGATGCCTATTCTCCGGTTTGAGATATTCATGTAAATAAACTTCAGAGTTTATAATTAAGCGTTACACACTTGTCGGGCAACAACTAGACATTGTTGTCTGCAATCATATTTAAATTTAAAGTAAATAGTAATTGTGTATTGACGAATCGAAAATTCTTTACATTTTATTCGCGAATAAATGCGAATGAACGAATTGATGATCGAGAATTCGTTTTCACATTTTATAACTAAACAAAGTTCTTATAAATAGGGGATCAAGCAGTGAAGCTCATGCCAGAACAATTCATGCGCATGCCTAAAAATCTGCTCGCAGTGGACGCTGTGAATTGTTCAAATTTGCGAGTAATTCATCTGTGAACATCGTAATTGAGATTTCGATTCGCTTCATTTTTTATTTAATTCTGGAAGAAGGTAATTTGTCATCCACATTGAGCAGTAATGGAATGGTTCACTTACATTGCCGAAGATTTCTCGAGTTTGTCGAAACGTTCTTGGAGAGCGCGTGCTGGAGTATCGGTGAAGGCTGCTAGATAAGCTAACACTGGCCCAGTGAGGCCCTTCACCTCCTCCGTGACAGGCTCAAGCTTTTCAGCTTCGACAACCAACTCCTGTTGATGAGCAAAAATGAATTCATTATTCCGAATTCAATGTTGGCAACTACACGGTTGTCAAACAACTGAATTTGGTATTTGACTGAGGGGCTATGTAACACCTGTCGTGGTGTCAGGCGGTGTCGGTCATGGGGACGGAGGGACGTGTGTGTTTTAAAAATATTGATTGATTTTTCGGTGCACGGAGAAAAATGACTCAGTAAGTCAAAATCTTGATAGATATCTATCAATGGGCAATTGCAAGTATCAATTGACAATATCTCCAAATCTAAGGGAGATTGCAAAATTTTCGTAGGGGAAAATTGATAATTTTTGTTTTTGCTTCTGAATAGAGATGCGAGGTAACGTCACGAATGAAAAACCGTCAGGTAAAAAAAATATGACCGTCATTGACAGTCATATAGTCTGTTGTCAATAAAACGGTCAGATAAAACTTTGTCATTGAGAAATGATCTATATAGATGCGACATGACGGTCATTTTTGTCCGTGTCACAAAATTTTGTCATGTTTTGCCATTAATAAATACCTACTTCGTAGTTCATTGACTAGAAGTAGTTCGTTAACTACTTCGGGGTGAAATGGGGTTACAGTTTTGCCAACTTTCAGATAAAATAAAAAAAAATTGGACACCTAAAGTGGTTTCGCCACCACTTAGATGCGATATGACTGTCATAAGGTAACTCGGTCACATTTTTGTCATGTGACAGTAATTGGTCATTCGTGGATCGGTAATGTGACGTGTCAGTGACGGTCACATGACCGTCATCTGACATGTCATGAAAATTGCTCGCATCTCTACTTCTGAATGAAAGCGAAAACAAAAATTCAAAGCCTTTTGTGGTTTAAGGTGATTAGCAAATCTGATCAAATTGCGGTTCAATGACACTTTTTGCCTATAAAACCCCTGTGACGGTTACGATCCAAGATACTCACTTTTAATACAACATATTCAGTATTCCTGATTTGAAGGAAAGAAAAAAAAACAAAAATTACCACTTTCCTGTCAGTGGTCCGTTTTGCCCGCCTGGCCCGTTTTACCCTACCCTCCCCTAATTGCCTTTTACCTTTAGGGAATTTTGAGAATAAAATGAGGTCTAAGAGCAACACCGGGGGGACTCTTCTTTCAAAGTAACACGCTTCTTGATTCGCGGACAAAATCTACGCGACAAAATTTCCACAACAAAATGGCAGTGTCTACTCCACACTGAGAAAAAAATCTCCCAAAAATTAGTGTGCTGTCCCCCAACACGGGACATAACATGGGGTCGTCGAAAAATTCATAAGTGGCACCCTAATTTTTGGTGGGACTCCGGCCACTTTTGCGGGGGATTCCCGTAAAAATTAGTGTGCCACATGCGAATTCTCCGATGACTCCCTGTTATGTCCCAGCGTTGGTGAACAGCACACTAATTTTTTGAAGGATTCTCACAAAATTACGATGTATTTTTTTCTCCGTGCACGGTAACTTTGACCGTGGATGTACGGGACGTTTTCCCGTGGATTCAAGGTAATTTCTACCGTGGATATGTGGGAGATCGTGGACCCCCAACTGTTACTTCTCAAATTAAATCTAGACAATAAACTAGACACATCGAATCAATTGATAAGTGATATGGAGATAGTAGACTAGTAAACAATTTTCTCGAATACGAATATCAGTATAGATTAACGCAAATAAAAAATGAAATAAATAGTTGACAAATAGTTGACTAAACGCAAATAAATAATGAAATAAATAGTTTTTTACATTTTTTGTGAACGTTTTCTCAACAATTTTCATATTTGTCTAATGGGGTCCGAGTGCAGGAGTGGGTGCCGAAATATAGTGGAAATGATTTTAAGGGTGATTTCCCAACCGGGGGAGAGTCCTAGACCCCACTGGACAATGTTGCCACAACTCTGTTTTTCAACTCAATTGTCAGAGTTGAAAAGCAGAGTTAATATTCTATGAATCGAGGGGAATTTGTTTGCTGAAGTGGCGGAAGCATTGTAATTGTATGTAAAATGTGAGTTATCGAATTGAAAATTGCGAATTAAATGTTATCTCTGAATTCTGAGTTACTTTTTTCTTTTTTGCACTTGATATTGTTTCAAAAGAGGATGAAAGCCGACTGAAACCTCCGGCAAATTTGTCGGTGGTTACTTTGTATCTCGGGAATAATGGATGTGGGGGAAATTGTCGGTGGAAAAATTGTCAATGGATAAATGGTCGCCGGTCATTTTGTCGCAGAAATTTCGTCCGCGGATCAAAAGTTACGGAGCCCACTTCAAAGTTCAAGAGATCTGTGACATCCAATCAAATCTTGGAAATTCCACTCGTCCAATCTCAATTTCTTGAATATTGAAAAAGCGTAGAATTGAATTTTTTTTGCCTGATGGCTTGGCGCAGTGCACTGAGAAAAAAATATATTTTTGCCAAATATTCATTTACTTGAGAGAAGTATTTATTTTTTCAAAATCGTATTTCTCCAAACGAGTCATTCCCAGGCGAGCCTGACTAAGTTTCAATTACAACAGTCATGTTGCTCTAGAGGATGACTATGTTGCACATGACCTTGGATGGACTCTTCTAATGATTATTCATATTTCCAAAATTTTTCATTTTCTACAGGGCAGAATTTCGATCAATTTTTTAATGTTGATAATTATAGAAGAAGTTCACTCAAGGTCATAACTAACATGATCATATTCTAGAGCAATATAACTGACATGATTGAAACCTAATGAGGATTGCCTGAGAATGACTCGAATACGGAGAAATACGGTATTGAAAAAATAAATACTCCTCTCAAGTAAATGGATATTTGGCAAAAATAATTTTTTCTGTACTGCTTCTCACGATTTCTCGTCTGGGAATTGGTATTACATACTTCCCAAACTCGAAAACTTGAAAATCACTACAGAAAAATATTGTTCCTGGGCTGTTGCGATGGAGTTTTTTTACTCGTGTGGGTGGTCAGTCGCCTACGGCTCGGAGGCCAACGCCACACGAGTAAAAAACCCCATCGCAACAGGCCAGAAAAATACTATTTCTCTCAGTGTGGGTAAGTTCGTTGTCTCACGTGCGAAAAGTTTCGAGTTCAAAACCCGGCCGGGTAGAATGGTGAGATCTAACCATTTAAAGTCTTGATCATCATCGCAGTATACCCTAACCGGTTCGAAGCGATGTAAAATAACGATAAAAAAAAAGAATTGAATTTTCTCCAAGTCCAAAAGAAACTAAAAAAACAAATTGACTTACGTCAAGAGCCTTGATGGTGTCCCTGATATGTTGCTTCGACCTGACCACAGTATCCACAAGTTTGCTTCTCTCCTCAATAGCCGTGAGTCTCGTCTCCGTGTGGCTCCACCTCGCCTCAAGCTCCTCCCAGTGTTTAGAAAGCGCCTCCAGAGTGTCTCTACGTCCCTCCAAGCCAGACACAAGCTCTCGCCACTCGGCATTGCACTCTGCCAACTGTGCCTCAATATTCCGATGATTATTCACATCAGCTAGGCTTAGCACTTCCTGTCCGCGTTCATTCAAAAGATCCAACTCGAATTGCTGATTCTGAATGTCATTAAGAGCGTGTGTGATCTTCTGAATATTGAATTGCAGTCCTGCAAGGGTCGTCACAGGCTCATCGGTGAACCTCGTCCTAGCGATCACTGCTTTCACACGCTCCAAAGTTTGAGTGTAATCTTTCCAGCTCTCGGCGCCTTGCTCAAGTCTCGCGCGATGTGACTTCGCAGTGTTCAAAGTGTTCTTGAGCAGTTGAGTGTGCTGTTGCTGCTCAAGACTCAATTCCTCCTGCTCTGCACTAGTCAACGACGGCCAGATTTTGTCGGCTGACTGCTGAATCTGTTGGGACACGAGCTCGCGAATTGACGATTCCGAGCTGAAGTAAATTTTGTGCTCCTCAAGATCGCTGACAATGTTTTCAAAATCGACTCCATCCTTATCGCTCTGCAGTCTGATCTCTGCCTCTCTCACCCAGCTATGCAATTTCTCCGTCAACACTCGATAATCAAGTCGCATCTGATGATTGCTCGCCAAGTAAGCCCCACGATCCTCCATCTCTCTCGGCAATGACGACAGCAATGAGACCGCCTCACTCAACATTTCCTTCAGCGATCCGGGCATGCTCTCCTCATGTTTAACAGATGCCTTCAGCGCTCGAATTCTCTCCAGATACTCATTCACAGATTCGCAGAGAACCTTGTGTTTACTGATTTCATCCTCAACACTCTCAGCAGATCTCTCCAGCAATGGTCGAGACTTGACGAGTTTCTCCTTGGTATCCATGCCATCCAAAATATCAGAGAGCTCATCAGCCAGACGTTTGTGCTCAGCAACAGTCAGCTCGTGCTGATCTCTCTGCATTTCCACAGTTCTTCTGAGGCTTTGAAGCTGTTGCTTTAACGATCCCAATTGTTCAGTGATGTTGTTTCTGTCTATCGCAGATCCATCAGCTGCAATCTGCTGTCCCTTGTCCGTTGCACTAGCCAACGTCGCCTCACACTCTTGTATCTTCGAAATCACATCATCGTATCTTTTGATCTTCTCCTCAATCGGCTGATCCTGCTTCTCGATGTCCCTAACGATTTCCGTGTACTTGGCGATGAAGGTCGTTATCTCAGCGATAAGAGCGAGGAACTGCTGACGCAGCAGCAGAAGCTGTCTTAACTTGGCTATTTGTGCTTCTAAAGCACGAATGAGGTCGTCCTGCTGGGCAACGACTCCATGGAGATCTCCGATATTAGCGGACTGCAGGTCAGACAGCTTCTCCTTATTCGCCTTCAAATCTCCCAAGATCTTTTCATAGGCTGTCAGCATGCCCTCGACGTCCTCTACCCTCGGTCCAATGGGCTTGTTGAGCTCCTGCAGTTGCTTCTGAATGTCTGACATGAATTGAACAGCCTCCGCCACTCTCGCCGCTGCCTCCTCGGCCTCTGCTATGCTCTTCTGCAGGGTGGCTGCCCTCTCATTGATGATGCCAGCTACTCTGCTGTGTGCATCCTTCATGCTCTTCAGTTGATCACTCAATTCCAATTTGTCCGCATCACTCACTGTGGGAAGGATGGATTTGCCTTGTTGCAGGATCTTCTCAACGTCTTCGCCGAATGATTTGGCCTCGTCCTTCAGACGATCGTACTTGGCTAATTGCTCTCGGAGGACGTCGACACTCGATGTCCTCACGTCTGAGGAGGTTGCAGTCTCAGCTTCTTTGATCCACCGCTGGCAGCGGTCGATCTCACTCTCGAAGGCCTTTCGTCCTTGGAGAAGATCTACTAGTGATGCTTGCTTTTCCGCAGCTTCTTGCTTCAGGGCATCGTAGTCCTCGCTCAGGGCATTCATGATTGACTGCAGCTTTGATCGATCTTCATCGTTGCAGTCACGCATCAACGAGTTTGCGTGCTTCAACACATTTTTCAAACTGTGTTCACTGAAGGCTGATATCTCTGTGTCTATCCCATTGTGGTGGGCTATATCTTGCTCCACTTTGAAGCTTCTCAGTGGCAAATATCCACTGAGTTTCTTCAGGTCATTGTGCGTCGCCCGAATCCAGAGTTTTGCACGATCGAGATTGGATTCGAGTTTCTTTCGTGCATCCGAGGCAGCTGTCGCACCGGAGATCTCTTCTCTGAGGATTGAACAGAGCTCAGCCTGTTCTCCACGGAGCGATCGAGTACTTGACTCCAATTCCTGCTGCTCGGCCACTTCAAGCTCGTTCTGCATATTGCCAACTCGTTTCTCCAAAGTGTCAATAACTATCTGTTTGTTTTCAGCTTCTTTCAACATCGCTTTCAGCGATTGAACCCTGTCGTCGGCGGGTTTGACCTCGTAGCCGAGGAGTTGGCGGACTCTGGCTTGCTGCTTCTTCTGGTTGATCCACTCTCTGTTGTCCTCAATCTCCTTTCGCGTTGCTTCGATTCCTTGAGCTGTCATGTCCAGAACTTGGGATTTTCTCTGGAGCTTCTTGCCAATGTCCGCGTATCGTCGCTCTACCGATTTGATTTGTTCCTCGATCTGCTGAGAGTCGAGATTGCTGACTGAATCCATCACTTGATCCGCAAAGTTCTTGACTTCTTCCAGTCTCCGTGGCGCTTGACTCTCGAATTCCAGAGTGATGTTTTTCACTGCTGACATCTTCTGACCAATGTTCAAGCCATTTCCTTTCTCGATGACGTCTACCTTCTTAGCAAGGGAGTCGAACCAGTTTTGAATGTCGTGAACTTGGGATCGATATTTTTGTATCAAGTCCTGAGCCGTTTGCTTGTCAGCGATTGCTTCCAGAAGTTCTGATTCAAGTTTGTTGAGACCCTCCTCGATATCGTCGTCTTGACCGTCTGTTCGAAGATTCATTTCTGTTAATACGCGGGTTCGTCGGTCTGCTAAAGTTGTTAAGACGTCGTTCATCGCCTGGAGCTCGGCTTGAGCTGCTTCTGCTCGCAATTTTGCGGGACGAGATTTCCACTCGGCACAGAGGGCTCGCTGCTGATTTATCCAGGTACGAAGAGCGTTCTTCTGGCGAGTCTGCTCTTCGAGATCGCCAACGGCTTTTGAGACGTTTGCCAAATGGACTTGCATCTACATTTTGAAAAAGGAAGGGATTTAAGGATCGACGTGGCGAATTGATAGTACGTCGTTTATTTTAAAGGGGGTACCAGGTTGGAGCTTTGAAGTCTCTGAGTGGTAAGAATTGCCTTTGAGCAATTTTCACCACTCAATTTTTTTTTCCTGGGCTGCTACTAATGAATTTAAACCTCTTTGAGACATCTCATATTATATGATGGATGCTCACATAGATCTACGGGTGTCCCAAAACGGCACCTTTCCTTCTGAAGGTATGGTAATTTAAATATTAAATTTATCAAGGTATTAAAATTAAATTCAAGAGTGTATGGTAAGGCATAATTATCAAAGGCTTATTTCAGGAGCTTTGTTTGACTTGACTTTCAACTTTCAAGTGGACCATTCGTTAATTATTAACGCATATTTATTTGGTCATATTGAGCTCTACCATTCGTTAATAGTTAACGAATCTCGTTTGGAATAAGTGAATTATTCTGTCAGTGTGATGTCTAATTTTTTTTCGCCATCAACACATTGAGGTACCTTATGATATATCAAAAGCCGCTCAATAGCTATTCCCATCAATTGAAGACTGTTAAGTTTCACCTGGGTAACCCTTCTAAAGAGAAAAATTAATCGTACGGTAAATTAAAAAAAAAAAACTGCAAACCTTATCGCACATGTCATTCAGTTTCGTTAAAAAGCCTTTACTCTCGACATCACTTAAGAGTACCTTCAGCTTGCCAGCAGTACACTGATTATCTTTCTGCATAACACAAGTGAAAAAAAAAAAACACAAAATTAAATAGCTCATGCAAAAGCTGAATAGGAACAAGAATTAAAGATTTTAGTCGTATCAGCGCAAAATAATGAAAAAAATCGTGAAGCAATTAATCCGTCAAACAATTGAACATCAACGAAATATTGTACTTTAAATTTTGAATAATTGATAGATCTTTCCAGCAATGAGTGGGATTATTTTTAAAGTAAATTACACTTAAAAAATTTCAACCGTTTTCAATTGTCAAATTTCTCAATTAAATTGCGTGAAAAAAATTGGAAACAAATTATGAGTATTCAGCATCATTCAAATTACATTTTGCACAAAATTATTATTTTTTTGAACATTCGTTGTCTATAAATAAAAAATTGAAATTGAAAAACGTAAACAATTAAAAAACATTTTGACTTCCTCTGAAAATTCAATAAAGTCTCAAAATTTCAGAACGCCCATTAATTTTCCCGAAATAATTAATCTGAAATTTACAGTTTCCATGGATTTTTCCATGAAATTATGAAATTTCTTCAGTTAAAAATTCATGAAATTCCAGGAATTTTCAAAGGAATTCCCTGAAATATCCGAAAAAATTGGAATTCAAGGAGAGATTTTCAGAATTTTCTTGATTTTTCATTTTCATTGAATTTTCCCGGAATAATTAACTTGAAATTCACATTTCCGGAAATTTCAGCGAACATATTGTTAGAAATTGTCAAGGTCCTCAGCAAAAATTTCAGTGAAAAAATTTCACCACTACAGTAATTACCTGATCGATTAAATCTTCGAGTCTAGTCCTCACTTCGACTTCCCGCTGGGGTATCTGCACCGGTGGAGCATCAAGCGGACTGCCAGGTCGTGACACACAGGCAGCGGCAGCTTCGCAAGCCTCGATAGCCACCGCAAGTCTCGCCTTCTCCGCCTGAAGTTTATTATGAAGTGTTCGAGCACTCTCCAGACTCTGCTCTGCACTCTCAAGGGTGTCCAATGGGGCGTCCAACTGGTCACTCATCTCCGGCTCGTAGGCGTCCAAATTCTTCATGATACTCTCCAACGTTCTCTCGTACTCTTCAAATTTACCGAGAGACTCGTCCAAGCGATTCTTAATCTGCAGTGCGGTATTCAGAAGAGAATTATAGCTATCCTGAACGTTTTGCAATTGAGTTTGAATGGTGGATTCAATAGCAGCATTCACAGAGACGTAACGATCGATTTGTCCCTGTCCTTCGTCCTTGAGCTCATCCAAATTGCGTTGATAATTATTAATCTCCTGCAGCAGACTCTGGTGCTGTTTAATCTGCAGCAGAGTCTGTTCTTTACTAGTAATGAACAATGAATTGTGAGCCATCAGTTGGAAGGAAACTTGAAGCAGCCACTTTTCCGTTTCCTGAAGTGCATTGTGATACGAATTGTACTCTCTGATTTCGTTTTCCACTAGGCTCTTCTGCTCATCCACGAGCTTTCGCAGAGACTCCCAGCGGCTGGCAAGTTTCGTGGCCCTCTCTTCTGTTATGCTATCTTTCGCCCACGAAGACAGCTCCACAGACTCCTCCAGCAGATGATCTAAATCAGTCTTCTTGACCTTGACCTCCCCCTGAATATGGCGATAGCGTTCGCAAAGAGTTTTCATTTCGCCAATTTCCCCTTTAGTATCAGGAAGCGACTGGATCGTGGTCTCCATGTCTTTCAGCCATTTGTCAAATCTCTCGTAGGCGTCACCGTGATCCTCCCATCGAGTCAGAATCGATTTCACTTGGGCTTGGACAGTGTTGAGATCCATGCTGAGTTGCTCCCAACTGGACCTCATCGCAGCCATGTCGGCCCTCAGCTGATCCTGCTGTTCAGGGAGTGCAGTGTTTATTGCTTTGGCGAAGGCGTTCTGAAGCGTTGACAACAAATGCTGTCCTTCAGTTATTCTAGTTGCTACCACTCTCGTTGTCTCGAGTTTATCACGAGCCCAGTCTAGATCTCCCACCCCAGCACAATCCTGCACTGAGCCATGCGCTGTCTGCAGCCAATCCTCCATTTGGTTCTTAGCTTTCAAGAATTCCGTATGATCGGACAAATTTTTCTCCACTCTTGACACCAACCCTTGGGCGTCAGTCAGAAGTGCTGTGTAAATTGACTGCAATTGGACAGTCTTTTCTCTCGCCCAGCTGCAGGCCGAAATTTCGAGAAGAGCTTCACACTTGTCATTCAACTCCTCAAGAACTGGCTTCTGACGAATTGCCTCCTCCACCAGCTGTTTGCATCTCTCAAGATCCTCTGGAGTTTTATTCTCGCGGCTCTGTTCGTCGTTTATTTTGCTCTGGAATTGGTCAAGCCAGGCCTTCATGCTATCAGTGGTGGCATTGAACTGCGACCACATGGATATGCAGTTTGATAATGTCCTCTGGGACTCTTCACACTGAGTCTTCAAGGACTTCCAGTCCAGCTGGAGTTGTTGCACTTCCTGTCTGATCGTGTCTTGGCCTTCAGCTCCTGTCGAACGAATTACCGATTCGTTGAGGTCGACCACTTTCGTAATGAGGGATTCTCCCTGGGACAACGACTGCATGATCTCACTGATCTTCCTCTCCCGCTCGATGAGCTTCTCCTTCTCCCCGTGAGTCATACTGTACTGCTGAACGTCCACCTTCATCTTCCTGACCCAATCGGACGCCTCGTTCTGAGCCTGCTGGAACCTCTCGTGCTCTCTCACCTGATCCTCCAGCGTTGCGATCTTTTCGCCGACTAATTTACGAAGATCCTGGTATCTGGAGATGGTGGCGTCATAGGGTCCCCTGGCAATGCTAGAATCCTCGCTCAATTTCGACTTCAATTTGTCGATTGTGTCAGCCTGGACCTGCATGTCTCTCTGGACAGTTCTGTACTTCTCCAGGAGTGCTCTCTTCTCACTCAAGTCGTTCTTGTGAGGCTCCTCAGGTCTCACCTTGACTTCAGCCTCGTCGATCCAATCGGTGATGAGCCGATGGAGCTTGGCGAGTTCCTCAAGTGCTGTGGCACGAACTGACAGCTTCTGTCGTGCCTCTTCAACATCAGTCATGAGTTTCTCAAAGTCGGCTCTGAGATTGTCAGTGTCTTCCTGAAGCTTTGCCGCACCATTGTGCTCGGTGTTCATGATAACTTTCTCCTTCAGCTCCAAGGCGTATCTCAGTTTATTCTGGCCCTGCTCCAACGTCTGACGAATGGCCTTACAGGTGTTGAGTTTGTTGTTGACTTCAGTGAGGGTCGATGGAATCAATTTGCACTCAGCCAACTTGTCTCGAGTCCTGTCAATCCAGTCCTGGCACTCCTGGTAAAGAGTATTGTGCTGTTGGTGCTCCTGATAATGCAATTCGAGTCGTCGCATTATTTCTTTCGCAAGGGACAACAGTGCGTTGTACTTTGTGGTAAGTTGGGTGACTTGATTTGATATTCTGGTGTCAGCACAGGTCTCCAGAAGCACCTGTGCCTTCATGTTGAGTCTGTCGAGTTCTTTCTGCCAGTCGAATAGCGTCTGCAGATGAATCTGAAATTGTTCAAGAACATTTTTCTTCTCCTCCAGGCTGTCCTGGAGTTTGTTGAAGGGCTGAACCAATTGCTCTGTCTGCGTGAGCCACTCCAACGACTCAGAGTACTGATCCTCGTATTCTGTCCACTTGACTATACCGATTTCCAGTAAACTCTTGGCATTGTTCAGGGCATCAACGTAATTGTCGTACTCCTCTTGCAGTATGGCAACTTCTTCCTCGATTATTTCCTTGTCCTCGGCGTCTGCTATTTGACAAGCAGCATTACCACACTCCAGAGCTCTCTCGAGTTTCTGCTGTCCCTCGGGGAGTTCACTCTGGAGGACTTTGAGCTGAGTTATCTTGCTGGAGAGGGACTCCTTGTCTCCAGTGGGCTCTGAACATTTTCCAAGTCGTTCTTTGGCGATCCTCAGCCACTGAACAAACTCATTACCACTGTCGATGAAAGCTTGATGCTGCTCCACGGTTTCCTTTTGCCTCGCATACAGCTCCTGGGCGTGTTTGCTCAGGGTTTCGTACTTTATCGAGATCTCGGTGGCCGGTGTTGCTTGCTGAAGATCCTCTGCTTTTGTCGTTACAGATTGAATCATCGGCTCGAAGGCCACGATGTCCTGGACGATACTGTTCGTCTGCCTCAAGTTGGCCTTTCGTTCTCCAATTGCCAGTGAATTGAGCCCCACCAGGCCTTTCTTCGCTTTGGAAACCTTTTGCTCGCAGACTTGCTGGAGTTTGGCTTCCCTGTCGTTGATCCACTGCTGCAATTGCGAGTAGGACGAACTGTAGTCAGCCCACTGAAGGAGGCTCGTCTCCAAGTGAACTTTAGTAGTTGAGATCTTCTTCACCAAACGCTCCCAGTCGTTCTGGATCTCCTTCAGCTGAGCATTGATCTCCTCCCGTCCATCGGACCTCGTGTTCCTGGCCACTTTCTCACCGCAATTGACGGTCAAGTGCACCAGGTTCTGTCCCTCCTCGCGTTTCTTCAATAAATCTTGAATCTTGTCCAATCTCTTCTGGAGCTCCTCACGACTGCTGGTCGAGGCAGCCTCTGTTCCCTGGCGAATTATTTGTTTGGCATTGTCGATCCATTCTTGCGCCTTGCCGAGGTTCGAGTCGTACTCCCGATGCTGGCTCAAATTATTTTCGACTTTGTTCAGCACGTCCTTCGCGAGATTCACCAGAACCTGGTAACGGGAGTTCAAGTGCCTCAGTTGATTGTTGACGTAAGTATCCAAGTGAGAGGACAGAAGGGTAGAAGCTGCCCTGTTGAACTTGTCGATCTGCTCTTGACCCTTGACCAAATTCTCGAGAATATCCTGGACTTCCTTCACTTGTTTCTCTTTTTCTTCGATATTGGGCAGCAGTGCGTTCTTCTGCGTCTTGATCAGGATGTCGTACTGCTGAAGCCAATCACTCAAACGCTCGTACTCGTCCTTGTACTCTCGCCACTGGTTGACAGTCTCCTCCAACTGATTCTTCTGCTGTTGAATCTCCCTGAACATGGTCTCGAAGCTCTCAGCCAGTGCCCTGATCTCGTTCCTGATTACCTCTTTACCCTGGGCACTGGTGCTGGCGCAAACAACTTGTCCAGTATTTTGGAGCTGCTCCACTAAAAGCTCTCCCTGAGCTTTTTTGTTGAGGAGGCTCTCCAGTGGTGCGACAGCATTTTCAATCGCCAGTTTATCGCTCAGAGTCTTCTGCTTAATCGTCGGAATCTTCTCCCTCGCACGATTCAGCCAAGCGATCAGATCGTCGTGAGCTTCTTTGTAAATCTTGTGGTCCTTGTATTGATCTTCACGTTGAATCAGGAGAGATTTAATCTGCTCGAACAGTTGGTCAAATTTATTGAGGGTGTCTTGAGCCTGAGACGCTGACGCTCCCTGAACTCCACTGGCAATCATCTCAGCGACTTTGGCCTTCAACCCGTCAACCTCAATATTCTCGCATCTAACTTTTTCCTCCAGAGCTTTTATCCGCTCCAGCTGCGCTCGTTTCTCCGACATTGTCGTTTGGAATGGGAGAAGCTCGTTGAGAGACGTCTGCATGTACTCGACAGTCTTCGTGATCGATTGAATCTGCTCCAGGAGTCCAGTCCACTTGTTGATAGAGTCATCGAGATTAGTCTTTGTCTCCAGCATTTTGGAAGCTAGTGAGCTCCATTGCTCCTGGAGTCTGGCCACAGATTGGTTGATTGCTTTGTGACCACCTGGCGCAGTATTAGCAAGAACACTTTGCGCCAACTCGATGATCCCCTGGATTTTCGCAAAGCCATCCTCTTTGTAGAGTAGCAGTCCCTGTATCATCTCCATTTTGATCTCCAAATCCTTTCGGGAGGAGGCACTGAGGTCCGAGCAGTAGCCGAGCTTTTCACCGATTCCCTCCAACCAGCCCATGCAGGCAGCCATCTGATTGTCAAAGTCCTGGTGATTGGCCACGTACTGATGCCAACGATTGTTCAACTCCTTAACTTTGTTACTGATCTGGTGATACTTGATACCGAGTTCAGAAATATTTGAGGCACGAGAGGTCAAGCTTTTGTTCAACTGTTGAGCCCTCTCAGTCACAGCATCAATTTCCAGCTCTTTGGCTCTGACTTCTCCCTGAAGAGCTCGCAACTTGTCCAGCTGCTCCTTCTTCTCCGACAACGTCGATTTGAGATCTACAGCGTGAAGTTTAGTGTCAGTATCCTGAATCCACTCCAGACATTTCTCTCTCAATATTTCGAATTCGTTCCACTGCTGGAGTTTCGTTTCAAGCGCATCGATCGTTGATTTTATAGCTGAGACCAGGCTCTGCCATTCCTGTTGAGAAGAATCAATCTGGGATCGAATGTTTACTTGGCCTGATTCAAGAGTCCCTGGGATCACCTTCTCCCCCAATTTCTCGATCTGGTGAATTCTGGGCTCGTCCTCAGGGAGCCCTTGCAGAAGGTTCTTCAGTCTGTCTAGATTCGTATGGAGTGAGACTCTCTCCAGGTCAGTGTCCCCCCAGAGATTCACTGCATTGTGGGTTGCGTCCAGCCACTGATGAGTCTCCATGACAGCTTTGCTGTACTGCTGATGATCGCTGACGATGGCCTCGTACTTCTCCACAAATGCTTGCACTCGTTTCAGCAGTGTTGCGTGTCTTTGCGCCAAACCAGCGAGGACTTTGTCAGTTCTCTCTGTCTTATCGGGGAGGTTCTCCGCCCTGTCTCGAAGGGCGAACAGATCCTCCTGGTGTGTTTGAATGTCATGAAGCGAGTCTCGATAAACTTGTAGCTGAATTCGTTTCTCATCTAGGGTTGTTCTCAGCTCGATTTCAGGCTTGATTTGCTTCTCCAATTTAGTCAGCCACTTCTCGAAGCTGTCACTGCATTCGTCGAAGCCCAGCCATCGCGATATTTTCAATTGAATGTCGCGTTCTGTCGATGTGACACCGTCGTGAAGAGTTTCCAGGGCTTTTTGGAGGTCCAGCAGCTGTTGGCGAATGATCTCTCGACCTTCTGAACCTGTCGTTGGGTACAAACGCTCTCCAGCCTCGACTGCGTTGTTCACCAGGAGAGTGCCAGCTGCAATGCGAGCTAGGAGATTCCTCAGGGTCTCACCGTGGACCATCAGCTCCTGTTTGTCCGCTGTTGATATGTCCGATGTCGCCTGGTAGTGGGATTGTGAGGCTGTCAGCCAGTCTGTGCACTGTTTGTAGCGTTCGAGGTACACCAAATGATCTTGAGTTGCTTGTTCGCATTTTTTAACGAGCTCCTTTGCCGTTGCTTGGATCGACTGGAAGCGCGAAGTGATTTGTTGGACGTTTGAGGAGAATCTCGTCTCGTTACTGGATTCTATTAAATCTGAAGAGTCATCGCTCATCTTGTCGAACTCTGCTTCGTGGCTTCGGAGATTGGTCAACAGAGACTGAAAATATTTTACGGGAGGGTCAAATCTCTGGTGGAATAATCGTCGGGGATGAGCCGAAATGACGTAAACGTCAAGGTCTTGGACGTTTTATTGCCAAACCTTACGACGTTTTCGACATTCTGGATTTCCCCGGTGGGGGATCAAAGCCATGGTAGATTGTGCTGAATTAATTTTGCCCCGCAAGCGGGTGTTAGAAGAATATGAATTTTGAATGTGATGATTGAGGATGCTCTGGATGATGTCTTCGCCTCCTGCACTTTGCAATTATCGAAATTGAAATTAAAAGAAACGAGTGGATAATTGCAGTTTTTGAATAAATGAGTGTAGTTATTGTTGCTAATAAATTAGCAATTTGCTTCCGGATGAATTCTTGTATTTTAATTCTTATTTCAATGTTCTCTTCTTCTATTTTTGCGTGTCATAGTAGTACTATCAATTGTTGTGCATTCTAAATTTTTGGGTCTTGTTTTGTTCTGTCGAATGATTCTACATTCGGACCCTCTTAATTTTTTTTAAATCGAAAAGTTTACTCAACAAAAAAGCCCAATGTATTTTTTTAAAATTGTTTTTTGAGTATGATCACAAATTTTCGCTCTTCAATTACCAAAATTGCGGGAGAAGATACATTTTGAAAGTTATTCGCTTGTCAATACATCTATTTGTGACGGGAAATATTGTTTTTCCCTTCGCGTCACGGACGAAAAAATTTAATAGAAGAACCTATCGAATTCGTTAGAAAATTTTATTGAATTTCTATTGAACTGTTCTATTAGTTTTTGGCCGATTCTATTGAAATGGTCAAAAGAAAATATTCAGTAGAAAAAGTCAGTAGAATTCAATTTTTCTGTATAACTTATTCTATTGAGATATTTTCTATAGAATTTTCTCGGCTCAAATTTTCCAAGTTTTTTCGTTTGATTCTCTTGATGAGAAGAAAAGAAAAATAGAATGGAAAAAACTTGGAAAATTTGAGTCGAGCAAATTCTATAGAAAATATATGAAAAGAATAAGTTATATAGAAAAATCGAATTCTGTTGACTTTTTCTATTGATTTTTTTCTATTGAACATGTCAATAGAATCAGCCAAAAACTAATAGAAGATTCAATAGAAATTCAATAGAATTTTGAAACGAATTCGATAGGTTTTTCTATTAAATTTTTTCGTGCGTGGTCGACACAATCTCGCGAGCTGCCTTAGGGAATTATTTGAATTTATTTGTCGAACATAAATTTATTTATTATATTGAAGAATTTTGATGCATTTAATTTATTATTCACGCACTCTGTTTTGAATTTTTCCGAGGCATAAGGGGGCGGCACAGCGTGATTGGGTCGTCGCCAAGGTCATGGTCATGGGTACAGGCCCTAAAGTATCGATTATCGCCAACGCCTGCGTCGAATACTATAGGCAACAAGTCGCCAGCGTGAGCTGTGACGCTCTTCGCCCGGCAGTGAATCGTGTGAATGTACTCGGTTTTCTAATTATTATTTTGTGTTGTTTTTCTAGTGATTTTATATTGTGTGGATTCCCGAGAACATTTTGAGGCTCCTGTTGAACGAGCTAAGTGTAGTTGTCGACGTAAAGCAGTGAGTACTGTTTATTAATATTCTCGTCTAATTTCCTTCTCTCTCTTTCTCTGTCGAATTTCCCAGTCTTGGGTCTTCCAACCGTCTACTCCCCGCGAAAAGGCGGGAAAACATTGTTAGCTAACGATAAACTAACTGGCGCCCAATCAATTATTAATATTGACGAATAAATTTTTTAATTTATTAATGCAATCGAATATGTATGCAAAACCAAAAGGCCTGTCTCATATTAATATCTCCTAATACATTTCTTTCTGTACGGTTTCCATTCATTTTCCCTTCCTGTGGAAATTCACTCATTCTAGTTGATACTCATAAATATTTTCGAGAATATAATCGATCCATTGAAAATAACGACATTTTTTGGTTGGCCAATAAACTTAAAAATGTATCTTCTCCCGCATTTTTGATAACTCAAGGACGAAAATTTGGGATCATATTTAAAAAAACTATATTAAAAATTACACTGGGAGATTTTATTTGAGTCCATTTTTCGATTAAAAAAATTCGCATCTCTTATTTTTAACGGTCAGCGACAAATTTAACTTCCAAAATCGAATTTCCGAGGAAAAATCACGCGGAAAATAGTATTTCAATGTTTTTTTATCGAAAAATGAAAACGTTTTTTCCCGGGGTGAATCTCGGAGTATCAACAAACATTGAATTCCAGAAATTCACACTTTAAAGTGTTTTCTAGAAGGAACTGAATTGTAATTATGATCAAAATCTTATTCAGTGAGTATAGAAATTAGAACATGAGTCAATTATTTATTGTAATATAAAAATTTAACAGCTGAAAATAATTATAAACAATCAATTGAAAAAAGGAATATCGAATCTGACAGGAAAAAGGGCATCAATGGTGCTAGTTCGTGAAAAAGTTCATGAAATTCGATTGATCCCTTGTAAGAAAATGTCGAAAAAAACGAAGAGAAAATTACATACATAGATACAATCAGACACGATTTAAAAATTGCGTATTCGGACTTTGTAGGCCATATTACTAGTACCATACCCTAACGCAAAAAATTGATAGCTTAAATTTGAGAGGTTACAAAGCTTCCATTCGGAAGCAAAACGATTTTTGTTGGCGTTAACAATAGAAGCTGTAAACACAAATGGAGAATAATGATGATTGAAGCACGATCCAAAGCCTTCAGCAGCTTTCTCGAGCGTCATCTCCCCTAAAGCAAGCATTTTTTCTTTCCACAACCAAGATCTGACCCCCTGGCCCCAGGTGAAAATGAAAATTTCTTATTTCGACATTTCTATGGCCTCCGAGTTTTTCATTAGCATCAGAGGCGTTAGTAGATACAGAATCAACGTTCACTTGGCACCACAAGTGATAATCTTACTTGCTCCAAGTGATCACTGTGTGACACCAGTTCCGTCACCTCGATTCCTCGTGATTCAGCTGTCTTTCGTAATTCCTGGTGGGATTTACAATCATTGACACAAAATGTGTTAATCACAGTTAAATTCGAATGTTTAACAAACTGCAACGATGAATAACGTTGGATATTGGTGAATTACGAGAATTAATTGTTTTGGTGGACAATCGGTGACAATCACTTACCTGGTACTTTTCCAGCTGCTCTTGCTTCTCCTCTATCGTATTCTTCAGTGTATAATTCTTCAGGATTGCTTCAGCCTCCGATAGCCAGGCTAAAAGACGTTCTAGGGAATTTTCATACTCATTCCACGATTGAATTCTCTCTTCGAGGCGACGGACTACGTCATTCACTGCAGTCGCAAATTTCTTGTTCTCGAATCTAAAATTATAAAATCAGCATGAATGATTCTCGCTCATTTTTTTCCATGCATCCTCCGACAATAGATTCAGTAGCGATGCGGTAAAACGGTCCAAGTCGATTTAGCCCTTAGTCAAGTTTATGAGAAATATCTTCGAATTTGAGGGAGATAATGAAATTTTTGTCAAAATATTTTTCGTAGCCCGAAATTCGCTCGCCAAAAAAGATTATGACAAAAATGTTGCTTTCTCCCTTAGGTTGCAAGATATTCATTGAAAACTGGCCAATAGTCAAGATCGATTTGAGATTCAACCATTTTCGATTATCAAATTTATCAATTAAATTGCGTCAGAAAAATTTGAAAAATATTCAGCGTCATCCAAATTACATTTTGCGCAGAATTATGATTTTTCTAATCATAATTCGCTGTTTGTAAATAAATAATTGAAATTTTTTCAACTTTCGTAAACCTTATTTTCTAGGCATGAAATCGTTTTCTGGTAAAGGTAATTGTTTATCTTTTTTTTCATCGTTACTTTACATCGCTTCGACCCGCTTGGGGTATACTGCGATGATGATCAAGACTTTAAATGGTTAGATCTCACCATTCTACCCGGCCGGATTTTGAACTCGGAACCTTTCACATGTGAAGCAACGAACTTACCCACTACGCCAAGCAACCGGGCATTTATAAATTATTGATAGAAAATGCTCGTAGTTGAAAAAAATTGCAATTTTTAAATTATTTTGATGTGGATACATCTATGGTTTCAGTATGGGGGGTCATTTTGGGAAACGGTCCTAGAAAAGTCTAGAAAATTCTATACATTTCCAGGTAATTCGAGAAGTTTCTTGAAATTTCGAAAAAATTCAAGGGGTTTCTAGAAATTTCGAGGAAATTGAGGGAGTTTCTGGGAAATTCGAAAAAACTCAAGGAGTTTCGAGGAAATTCGAGAAAGAAGGAAAGACCATGAATGTATCCACGTACAATTACAGCTGCATCGAAAATACAGCCGCCTGCAATTTTTCTAAATTTCATCAATCTTCCTCCAAAAGTAAACTTTCTGATATTTTTTCTCAGATTTGTTTTTTTTTAATGTTTTCTAACGGTTCAATATCGAGATTCAAATTCCGACCTGCAAAGTTTAAATAATAAAATCATTTTAAAATGTCCGGAAACTTAGGGTCAAATGAAAGCTCTGATGTTCGAGGACAAAAGTAGGAAAGCTTTTCACGAGAGAAATTCCGCTCTACCGCTTCGCTACTGAATTATGTAAAATGACATGAGAATTTACCTGAGATTGGACACGTCTCTTTCCATAGATTCTTGCGACCTAGGTGGAAGAGTTGATGCATTTAGTTTGACGTGCTCTTCGAGAACAGTGAGCTTGTGCTCCCCTTCACTCAGTCCATCCTGGATCTCCACAACTTTAACCAGCCTGGCTTGCAGACCCGCTTTGTTCCCAGTATAATCGGTATAACTGCCAAGCCTATCCCACTGCTGCTTCTGATAGTCTTGATAGACTTTTTGAAGGTCGTGAAATTGCTGGAAGATCTCCACAAGTTTTTCGAGGTTTCTTATTCCTTCGTGGGAGGAAGCTACCAATTGAGTGTATCTCTTCGAGACTGAAGAAACACTTTCCATAATGTCTGGTTGATTTTGAGATGCTTGGGAGAGGGCATTCGCCTTCTCTGAGACTGCCTCGATGATTCGTTTGTGAGCCACTATCTCTTGGTGGAGAGTCTGTAAATAAATATTCATTGAATTCTCCGCGATGTGTCAAGAGATTAGAAAAAATGTCAATCTCTTGAGATATTTTCTTTGAGCGAGTAATTGATGAAAACGAGGTGTTGGCCATGAATTATTTAGTATCAATGCCTTTTTTTTTTCTGATTTCCAGTTTAAACATTTTCAAAAACAGACATGCCCCTGAAGATGGGACCTGCATAGAGGAACCGAAACATTGGGTTTTTTGGTAAAACTATAGGAGTATTTACTCATAATTTCAACAAATTTGCAAATTCTTTTTCTGCCCTCCGGCCGGAAAGCGTCAACTTCCTGGCCGCTGCGCTAAACGAAGTTGCCACTTTCCGGCTACGTCGAGCAGAAAAATAGTATACACACCTTGGCCAGTAAATAAGAAAGCCTCAGATCACATGTTTGTTGACCTCGGCTTCGCCTCGGCCGACAATTACATATGATCTGAGACATTCCTTACTTTACTGGCCAAGGTGTGTAATCTACTATTCTTCTTCCAAGATAGACTACGATGTTAGTTTTGAGGCTTTCGCGGCCATGATTATTGATATCATAGGCTTCCGGATGTGGATGCCGCGTTGGTGCTGCGACGGTGGGGAGTGTGAGGAGGAGAGGGGGGTTAGCCAATCATTTTTAATTGATCAGCTGGCCAATGATACCAATAAACTACAACGTATTCACACCTCACAATAACCGTAATGATTTGAGTTTTTGTGAGCGACCTTTTATATAATTTTTCCCATTAATAACGGCATAAAAATGCATCGAATCACAATATAAAATTACAAATCTAAGGTGAGGGGATCTTGCATAGTATTACCGGATTTTTTTCGTTTCGATGAGATGACTTTTCTCACTCGTTCTTCTTAAGGTGTTTCACGCAAAAAAGGTAAATAATGGCATTCATCTGGAATTCATATAGAATGTTTATAATCACAATGGAATTATCTATGAATTTTCCAACAATTTTTTCAGATTTTCTCTTTTCAAGTTATTAAGATTGAAGTCGCTTCTTATACATAAGCTCTTAGGGGGATTTTTCTGTTTAGCTCGAAACTGCGTTACCATCTGAGCTGATAATATGGTTTCATACTAAACAGAAAAATCTCCATAAGAGGCCATGTGTGAGCAGCGACTTTAATCGTTAATAACTTAAAAAGGAAACCTGAAAAAATTCTATGAAAATTCATGGATAATTCAATTGTGATTATCAACATTCTACATGAATTCCAGAAGAATCCCATTATTTACCTTTTTCGCATGAAACATCTTAATCTTTGAGTCTGCTAATGACCACACAGGCCAACGCCTCCTTTTCACAAAAACTTAATTGTCAAAATGACAAACAAACCTTGCTCTTCACCAACTTTGATCTCACTTCGGGAAGTGTGGACCAGGCCATCGACGCATCCTGCTTCAACGACCTCTCAGTATTATCCAACCAGGCAAGAATCTGCTGCAATGTCTCCTGATAGCTTGACCACTGCATAGTCTGCGCATCCTGTTTCTTCTGCTGTTTCACAATACCTTCATCAAGATTGTCCCACCTCTCTCTGATGCTCCTCAACTCCTGCCTGATAAATTCACGACCCTGAGCGGAGGTAGTGGGTAGAATCCTGTCGCCAGCAGCATTGAGAGAAGAAATCTTCGCTTCAGCCTGCTCTCTTTCACTCAACAGCATCTTCAGACGACTGCTCTTGGCTTCTAAATCCCCACCAACTTCCTCAGCCCTCAGAGACATTAAATTCTGCTCCAACGGTGTCAACCAGGCATCCACAGCCTTGAGTTTCTCATCAAACGCACGATGCTCATCAACAATAGTCTGACAGCGATCAATAACTTCTTTGCTCAAAACTAACAGCTGCTGATACCGATTACTGATTTGGGAAATTGATGGCTTTATCCTGTCAACTCCACTGGAGTTCAATAGCCCATGAGATTTGTCGACAAAATCGTCCATTTCTTTTTCTCGTTTCAAGATCGTTCCTCTCTTCTCTTTGAATGACTGAAGATGATCCTCCTTATCCTTCAAGGTTGATTGCAGCTGTTGATCTCTGAAGGCCGCTTCCATTGCTCTGAACCACTTGGCATGTCCATCCATCTGATTCTCAAAGTCCTGCCACTTCTGGAGGGCAGCATTTTGCCTGGTTTCAACCGTCTCAACCTCGTTGAGATGTTGTTGCAGAGCAGTTTCGAGGGTCTCAACCTCCTTGAGGATCGCTGGGTGGCCTTTGGTGGCCGTCGTTGCCAGAACAACTTTGGACAGTTGCTTCAATTTTTCGAGGTGATCCAAGCCCTGGGATTGAGCACTCTTCAGCACAGACAGTGTTGCTATTCTTCTGGTGATGTCTGCACGCTCGCCCGTGATGTCAGTGCAGTCCACCAACTTCTCCCGTTCTAAATTCAACCAGTCTTCGAAGTTCTTGCATTGAAGATTGAATTTATTATGTTTCTCAGTGCAATCTTCCAGGTTCTGCAGGAGATCTTGGGATTTAATAACGATGTTGTGGAATAGTTGTTTGATTGATTGGATATAAACGTTCAGTGATGTATCCTGAGTTTGATCCACCAGCCTCTGTGCTTTATCACAAACTGATTCCATCAGATTCTGATAGGACATGATCTCTTGATGCATGATTCGATGATTCTGCAATTGTGCACGCTTCTCCTCGAGTGTTGCCTTCAACTCAGTATGCTGATGCATTGTGCGCTCCACATCCTTCAACCAAGACGTCAATTGCTCCTGAGACATTGAAAACTCGGCAAATTGGGTGAGACATTGATCCAACTTTTGGGTTGCCCCTTGCAAATCCTCGGTGAATCCATCCCAAAGGGCTCTCAAGTCCCTCAACTGCTGACGAATGATCTCTCGGCCGTCTGGTGATGTATGAGCATACAGTTTCTCTCCAAGGTCAATCACAGACTCAAACCTTGGATTTTCTTTTGTCCTGGTATCCGCCAGGTCTTGAATGTTTTTCTGGCGATTCTGGAGAGCAGCCAAATCACCAACAATCTCTCTGTGTTTGCTCAATTCATCTTGAACTTGATTGATCCACTTCAGGAATTCATTGTAACGCTCGTTGAAGACACTGTGCTCCTTCACGTACTGCTCGTATCTGGCAACAGCCTCTTTAGCTTGATTCCTTATAGCCTGGTAGCGCGTGGACTGCCTGGAGATTCTCGTTGCGAGGTCAGAATCCGCTTCGATCCCCTGACTTCGTTCGATCGCAGCATTGAACTCTCCAACTTTAGCGGAAATCTCCTCTTCAAGGCTTATCAAAGTTTCAAGATAATTCCTTTTGGTTTCTTCAGTGCTCTTAAGCGTTTGGTCCTTCACACGCGACTCCATCTGCTTAGTCCAAGCTTCCAAATCCTCAACTATCTTTTCGAACTCTGTCCACTGGTTAAACAGAGCATTGAGTTTGGCTTTAGTAGCTTCGAGTTGAGCCAGGAAACTCTCCCAAGACTTTTTCTGAGCTTCGTAGGCTTTCGACAGTGCAGGATGTCCAGCAATGGACGTCTGCTCGAGAATAATATTCAACTGCTGATTGCAATCCTCGAGGATTCGTTCAGCCTCCGATTTCTGGGACAGAATATTCTGAATTTGAATGATCTTGGCGTTAGCTGACTCCCTCTCCACAGGCACATCTTCGCCCAAATGTGAAAACTCGTTGATAACTGAGTTAATCCAGTCTCGAGTTTTATCGAATGTTTGGGAATAAGCTTCGTGATTCGCCACGTGTTTCTCAGCAACGCTAATGCGATCTTCAACATTCTGGGCGAGTTCCTCATACCCCTCGATGACACTCGTCAGCATTTCACTGGCTTCGTCGTCAGTGACTTCTTCCAAACGCGCTGATAACTGCTGAAGAATGTTCTTGTGAACGCTTACGTCCTGGGCAATTGCCCTGTACGAGTGCAAAGCGAGTTTCTTCTCCTGAAGAGTGGGCAAAAGCTCTTGTTTGTCACCCAGTTTAGCTTGTGTATCAGACAGCCATTGTTTCACTTGCGAGTACTTGTCCTCGAATGAAGACCTGTGCATCATGTCATTCTCTATCTTCTTGTAAATTCCGTTGGACCAGTCTCCTAATGCATCAACCCTGCTCCTGAGATTTCTGAGCTCAGCTCTGAGTGCCTCCCTCTGATCAGGAGTGATCTTTGGGAAGAGTGCCTCACCAGCCTCGGAGATTCTGTTCAAAATTCCTTGGCCCTCCTCTCGGTCTTCCCTGAAGGCTTTCAGCTCGTTCAGACGTGCCTGGTAGAAAGTCATGGGCTTAGGACCACTGGTGCCATCCAAACTTCTCAGTTTCTTCTCAGCCCCTTCGATCCACCTCTCCAGGTCTTGAACATGAGATTTATACTGATCCCTTCCGTCCTTCAATTCCCTCAATTTTTCCAAATGTTGCGCCAGGAATTTCTGAATCGCTTGGTAACGAGCCATCAGGTGACTCACGTACTGAGTCACTCGAGACTCCGGACTAACTTTCACAATATTGTCTCCAAGAGCCGATAGATCTTTCATCTCCTTATCGAAGGCGTTCACGGTTTTAATGTAATCATCAATTTCTTGAATTTTCTCCTCAACGCGGGGTAACTCAATCAAGCCTGTACCCTCAGCTCTGATTTTATTCTCAGTTTCTTTGAGCCACGTGGAAATGGTCTCCGAGGTGGTCTCATATCGCTGCCACAATTCAATGTTCTTCTGAAGAATTTTCCTGATTTTTGAGTAATCATTCTCCAAGGATTCTAGGTCTCCAGAGACACTGTCTCGTTCAGAAGTGAGGGCAGCAATTGTTTCTGGAGTTTCGACGGTTTTTAACAGCCCCAGGGACTTGTCAGTTTCCATTTTACGGGTTTTACACTCTTTTATCCCCTTTTCAACGTCGATTAAGGACGTCATCTTCACCTCGAGATTGTATTTATCGCTGTTTTGCTCTGGTGCACACCACTGTACTTTCTCCTTGTACGTCGCAACCATTCTCTGAAGAGCACTGAATTTCTCGTTGTAGATTTTGGCCAGGAATGCAACTAATGTGGCTGCGACCTTGTCAGCGTGGCTGACGACACCTCTGCGTCGTTCCTGAATCGATTCCAGTTCTTTCGGTAGAGTTGAGTGACGAATCGCCGGATAATTTTCCGAGGCAGACGCCACTTCCTGTTGAACTCGTTGAAGATCTTCATCGCAATTTTCAAGTTCTTTCTTCAACTGCTGACACTTATTGATCCTCACCAGGATTCTGGTGTTTTCTCCAGTCAAATCGTCGCACTTTATAATTTCCTCTCGGATTTTCGAGATTTGATCGCTCGATTTCTTGAGATTCTTCTTGATTGCTCTCTCCTTTTCGGTTAGATTGGAGGTGAGGGATGCCAGTTTGTCAGCAGACTCTTTGACCGCTTTGAACTGATCATCTAAGAGTCGGTTTAGAGATTCTAATGTCGGGATGTTCGCGTTGCTATTGATTTTGACGATCTGCTCGGTTTTCGTTGCTACGCCTTCACGCAAGAGTTGATAAGTCGGAAGTTCCTCGCGATAACGAGACAATCTCACCTGTCCGTTCTCAGCGTCAGTCAAACGTTCGTAAGCTGATGTCAGTGCTTCATTCGTATCGCTCAACCATCGAGTCAATTCGTATTTAGACTCCTCTATTTGCTTCCAAATGATCACTTGGCTCTCCAGTGACTGCGTTTTCTCGATTATTTTCGAGTAAATTTCCTGGTATTCAGCCCTCATCCTGGACAAATCATTCTCAATTGTTTCGCCCTTGAAGTTCGGCATCAGTGAAGCCTCCTTGATAATTTGCTGTGCCTTTTGGTCCATCTTCTCCAGGAACTGTTTTCCCTTCTTTAGAATCTCTGAAGCACGCTTGTGCTTCTCAAGGGCAACGTTCGCCTGGGTGATGTCATTCGGGACTTGTTGCAGCGCAGTTTGTAGGTTCTTAGAGTCTTCCATGAACTTGACAAGCTTCTCCCTGGACTCCTGATAGCTCTTCCAGTTGGCGTCCATCTCGGAATACTTCTTCCGTTGTTCTTTCAACAAGTCGTGGACCTTCTCCCAATTGGCATCGACTGAGGAGACAACAACTTGAACATTGGTCATCGCTTTTTGGTCCTCTTTGATGAGATTATTTCCCTCACGATGAAGAGTGCTTTTGTCTGACTCTCTTCGTTGATGATCTTCAATAAAATCATCGATCTTCTCAACTGCTGGAGCCAATTGTTCACACGTTTTTACTGACATAGTTATTTGCTGTAACGATGACTGAGTTGTGATGATTTCTTCCGTTAATTTCTCCTGGAGTTTCCGGAAATTATCCCAACGAGCCCCCAAACTCTCCAGTTTATCTCGTTTCGTGGAGATTTCCGTTTTCAAAGCCACTGTTTTATTCTCCAATTCGTGAACGAGACTCGCAGCTGTCAAGGGTTTCCCCTGCTTGTCCCTCATCCTTATTCCCATTGTATCATCTACAAGAGGAATTTGCTCCTTCCACGATTCAATCTTACTGCAGACCTTTTGAATCTCAATCGACAATTTATCCAAATCTTCAACCGTCGGTTTTCTATTGTCCAATTCGTATTTCGTGTGGCTGAGTTGAGCGCTCGTCTCGTTGTGCCAGTTGATAAGCTCACCCCACTTCTCCAATCCCCTCTTCCTCTTCTGCACATCGTCCTCCAGGGCTTTGTACTTATCAGCTAAATTCGTGTAAACCTCGTGGAGGGCTTCAGCCTCCTGAGGTGTACCCTGTGCAGAAAGTCGTTTGACTTCTTCGTAAATTGTCGCAAAACTGGGCTGCTTCTCCCGATGCTCCTGGAGGTATCCGTGAAGGGCTTGAAGATTGCCATCGACATTGTCGACACTAGCATCACTGACTTCAGTGATATTGGCACGTGACTGGGTCATCCAGGTCTCGAAGTCGGAAATCTTCATCTGGAACTCTTGACGAGCGAGTAGAGCATCTGAGACGAGATTGATCTGTTGTCTGACGCTGTCTGCGAGCTTTCCTACTCGTCCCTTCGTCGCGGAGACTCGAGTCTTGAGAGTCGTGGCACCTTCGATGGACAATCCGTGGCTGATGTGGTCGGACACCTGAGTGAGAGTGATCAGCTGTGCCTGACGATCGGAAATCACTTTGTTGAATTCTTTCAAACGATTGAGGTCTTGCTCCAACTTGGACGGCTCTGGGGTCTGGACATTCGGCTGAGTCTCCGCAGTCTCTTCACTTCTCTTGAGCCAATTATCAAACTCTCCCATGTCCTTCTCGAAATTCGTCCATGATAACACTAATTTGTCTAGTTTCGTTGTTGTTTGAGTTGAGATGTCGTGCACAGCGTTCCAGCGAGTGTAAACTGCGTCCACTTCGTCTGCAGCTACTGTTCTTCCCTCGATTTGTTGGCTCACTTGAGATAAATCTTGGATTTGTGGTAAATGCTGCTGGCATTGGCGCTCGAAGGCCCGCGCTGTTTGGAGCATTTCGAAGGCTTGAGGCAGAGTCGATGGTTTTGAACCTATTGTGGCCACTTGGGTCTCCGCTTGCTCAATCCAGGGTTTGACTTTCTCAATCTTCACTTCGTATTGCTTCCAAGTGGCAAGATTTTTTGTTGCATCCTCACGTTGGTGGGAAATGCTGTCGTTGAGGGCTTGGAGGGATTTTTCAAGCTCGATTATCTCGGTTTTTAGGAGCTTGGAGTCGGGATTCGGTTGTTCTGAAAATTAGGATTAAATGAGTTAAGAGGACAATTGAAATTAAGGCCCGGTTGGATTATATTTTTAACGTTATACAGATTGTTTTTTTGTTTTTTTTTTAATCTAAAATTTTAATCCGATTTCGCATGATGCAGAGATCTCCCAGAAATATAAAATTATGTTTTAAAAAAAAGCAAAAAACATCGGAGAATTTCGGAAGAGCTTTTTTTATTTTTATTGCGGAATAATTAAAATAGAGACAAAATTGTAAATGCTCAAAAAAGGCTCTTTCAAATTTCAAAAAAAATTTTTTTTAATTTTTTTATTATACTCTGAGTGTGAATTCATTTATTTAGTTCAATTCATTTTTTTTAAATTATTTTTTAAATTTATTTATTTATTTATTTGAGTTCTAGAATTTTTGTATGAATTCATTTATTTATTTGGTTTTTTTTTAAGTCTTTTTTTTATTTATCTGAGTTTTGGAATTTTTTTTTGCACTGAGAATGTGAAAAAAAAATTCTAAAAACTATTGTTTGAAATATGAAAGAGCCTTTTTTGAATTAGTTGTCTACGTCCAGTGTATGAAAGGATTTGCAAGTCCATCGACCGCAACTTAACACATTAATTTCTACCAGAAAACTACTATTTACCTGTGATCAATTCCTTGGATTCTTGCTCCAGTGTTTTAAGATTCGTGATTTTATCCAAAATCTGCTTCTGCAGCATTTCCGTTTTCCTCACTCTCTCCTCTGGTGTAGTAGCGACATCCTGCACAGTGGCAATCGCCTGGGGAGCGCTCTGCTGAGTCCAATTCTTCAACTCTGTCATTTCACTCTGTACTTTGGACCACTTAGCCCCCTGCTTCTCGAGATGAGTCACACGTTTCTCCACGGTCTCAATAGTCGTGTGCACAATCTTCTCAATTTTAGTAATTTCCTCCCTGATGGTAATTGTAATCTCCCCAGGTGAGATATCCCGTATCTTCTCTTCAGTATCTTTTAGTTTGGAGATAATTTCCCCAGAGGATTTCTTCAAATTCGAGCAGAATTCCTTCTGGAATTTGATGTTGGAAGCAACCTGCTGGGTGTCCCTGAAGCTCATGCTCTTTATCTTCTGGAGTTCCTCATTGGCTTCTCTCATCAACTTGGTGATTTCCTCCTTTTGCTGTTCGTACGCTTCCCACAATTTCTGAGACGTCTTCAAGGTCTTCAGAGCATCAACACTGTGGCCATAAGTGTCATTCCAGCTCGACTCCAACTGCTGAATCTCCGAGGAAACGAATGGAGGTGCGTGCTGGTCCTTCAGCAAATCTTTCCCACGCTGCAACATACTGAGAATATTGGCCCTTTGGGTCTCCAACTGGCTCAATCGACTCTCCTGATTGCTGACAGCCTCCTTCAGCACCTCAGCTGCCTTCTCTCCCTCAGCTGGTACCTCTGGACTCTCCACCGTAAATTCTCGCCTTACTTTTTCAAGCAAAGTGCAAACCTCGTGAACTTCTTTACGATAAGTATAACTCTTCGTGTAGATGTCTGTCTTGGTCATTGTTATCTCAATCGTTGGTATCAAATTTTTGTAACGAGTTATCAAATGTTCCAACTGACGCTGCTCATTCACAGCCTCGTTGTCTGAACGATTTGTGGTCAGACTGTCAAGAGTCTGGACCAACCACTTCATTTCTTCTCGCTTGCTGTCAGCATCATGGCACACATTCTACAAGGACGATTAAAAAACCATTCTCAGGGTGTTCTTTCAGGTAAAAAAAAAATGAGTGAACGAAAATGGTTGGGGAAACGAGATTGGGTAAAGGTGATAAAACGTGCGAAATTACCGTCAGAGATTGCATCTGTGTCCAAGAGTGAGCACAACACAATTGTATAATTCAAGGTGAATTGTACAGTAAGCTGGGATACGTGAGAGGGTAACTTACCTGGAAAATTGTTCGTTCTTTTTGGAACTCTTCCAGGGAGTTCACTTCTTTGAGGATTGTTCGGATGATACCATCAACGTGATCCATCCATCTTACCATTTCATCAAATCTAGACAGAGCGAGAGGATTAATAGTTTTGCTCTTTGCATTATGTGGTTTGATCAGGGGGTGACACCACAGAATTTACCTTTAGATAGGGGAGAGTGGGGTAAAATGAAACAGCTGAAAAATGACTATTTGATGCAATTCAAGCAGAAATTTTTTTTTTTCATCAATTTTTTTGCTATTGGGAGTACTAATGAGAATAATAATTTTCTGTTCGTTTTATAATTCAATTGATTAGATTAGACCGATTAGACTTATTTGCTCATTCGTTTGAAATTCAACATCACTTTTTCCTTTTTCTCCCTCCGGTTTTTCGGGACTCCTGCGTGATGTAAAATCCAATGGAAATCGTGATATACAGGGTGTCCCATCTGAAACAAAGCAGCCAAATATTTGCTAAGGCGGGCAAGTAACAAAAAAATATTCGAAACACAAGTTGTAGGGTTTCGAGGGGGACATTCGATGCATGCATTATTTTGAGCTTTCAGGATTATGCTTGCAAACTGCAAGCACAAAGTCCTTTTTTTTAATGGCAACCGCATTTTTCACTCCAATGAAACTGGTTCTTCTCGATAAGTTGTTTTCACATGCCTCATCATTCATGCAATTTCTTCTAATTTTACTAGAAAAATGCCACAAAAACGAATTCTGTTGTCAAATTGAAGATTTAGACTTTTTTTAGCGTGACCCAGGATGCACCACGTGGAGGTAAAGTCTACTTCGCATTCCTTGCGCTAGAAAACAGAAAAAAAGTAGTGCAAACGTGTATGGAAGTTCATGAGCGTTTACAGATATTCAATGTTCCCACCGTTAACTTGCAGACACAACTCAATTCGACGGCGGAAATTTTCAACAACCCTTCGAAGAACTTGTGTAACAATTATCTACACCAAGGCGCGTCAAGGATGTGTGAACATTCAATTCAGTAGCGAAGTGGCAAAGCGGTTTAAGTCGATTTCGACTATTGGCTGGTTTTCAATGAATATCTCGGAATCTAAGGGAGATAGAAACATTGTTGTTATAACCGTTTTTGTAGAGCCGAGTAAGACCTACAACAAATGTAATTACGAAAATTTCGCTATCTTCCTTAGATTCGGAAATATTCCTTAAAAACTCAACTAGGAGATAAGTCGACTTAGACCGTTTTACCACTTCGCTATGGAATTTGACAACAGAACTCGTTTTTATGGAATTCTTCGAGTAAAATTAGAGGAAATCACGTGAACGATGAGGTATCTGAAAACAACTCATCAAGAAGAACAAGTTTCATTGAGCTGAAAAATGCGGTTGTCATAAAAAAAAAGTACTTTTTGTTTGTAGCTTGCAAGCATCATCCTGAAAGTTCAAAATAATGAATGCATCGAATGTCTTCCTCGGAACCCTACAATTTGTGTTTCGAACATTTTTTTGTTACTTGCCCGCCTTAGGAGATATTTGGCTGTCTTGTTTCAAATACGACATCCTGTATTTAATATTATGAAGATGGAAAAACAATCGAGATAACGTTCGAAAGATAATCCACCCGGGCGTTCATACGAAGTATTCGAAACATTGGAATTTTTATAGCACTCATGGAGATGGCAGTAAACATCTGAAATTTGTGCTGCTAGTTAGTATTGTAAAGCTATAAACTTTTTTAATATGACAGATTATTCACCAGTCCACCGGCAATGTATTGATGGCGAAAAAAAATAAGACATCACTCACTGTCCTCTGCTTGTTTTCTTACGAGTGTCACCCTCCTCTGGGTTATGGATTACGACGTGGATTATAATTGCCATGTACTCACTTGTTTCTGTACGCAGCCCACTGTTCGGGCACCTGTTTCAGCTGTTCCCTGATAATCTCAATCCTCTGAGCTGAATCCTCCCACAACTGTTCAGCCTGTGTCACTGCCTCCTGCAGTGTCTTATCTTCAGGCTTCATCTGCGTGTAGGCAATGCTAATTTTCTTCAGACTCTGCAGACTCTTCTGTACCTCACTGATCACTCCCTTCTTCACAAAGAACTCCTCATTCCTCCCCAGAATAGAATCAACATTCTCATTCTTCATCAACGCCTGCTGCTCCGAATTAATCTCCATTTCAATATCTTTGAGATACTGCAAGAAAGTTGTCTCATCCAATCGAAATTCTAGTCTCATCAAGTGAAGGGGCGCAAATGCTAGGACGTCCCTCCACCGTTGCTGCAACCCATCAACAGCTTCGATGATCGGTTGCTGTTGAGCAGGCGGAAGTGCATTTCTGAGGTCTTGGCCAGCATTAATGAGGTCCTGAATCCATCGTTCATTGACCTTTCCAAAGAAAGCTTTGTGATTATCAACACTCTGCCTGTTATCATTTCTCCTGTCGCTGATCAAATTCTCAGCAGCTGTCAACCACTCGAAAATCTGTCTCTCACACTCCCTGAATTTGGTCCAGCACCTGACAGCCTCCTGCAGTCGTTGTTCATTGAGTTGTGCGGCCTGAGAGACCCTGGTGAACCTCTCGATCAAAGCTCGAAGGTGCTTTCCACCCTCGGCAGTCTCCGGATTACCCTGGGCGTCCACAGACTTCATGATGCTCGAGAAAAGTTTGTTTTTCGACTCGAGCATTGATTTGTAGTAGAGAGTTCTGGAGAAGAAGATCTTGTGGCGTTCCAGTTGGGCCAGGGCTGAGTCTCTACCTCCGGAGAGGTCGATTGATGCCAACAAACGCTCGGCCTCGTCCAGCCAAGAGGAGATCTCTCGAATTCCTGTTTCCAGGGACTCGTGCTGAACCAATAATTGATGGTACAGATGCAGTCCCATGGGAATCAATGCACGGACTTTCACCAGCTCCTCTTTCTCTCTCTTCAGGGTGTTCATCATCTTGTCCACTTCTTCTCGGGATAAATCTTGTATCAGGGTTTGGAATTTCTTGGAGATGCTTCTGAACAATTCCTCGAGACCCTCGATCTCGCTGTTGAGGGTTTCGAGTCTCTCACCGTAGGCCTTTATTTTTTCAATCGATGTTAGCTGAGAGGTTGACAGAGCGTCCTCAGCGTTACGAAGCCATGTCTGAAGACGCTCGACTTCGGATCTGTAGCTCTTGCGGTTCCTCAGGAGATCACCAGCGTGCATGTATTGGCGCGCCTCGAGGAAGAGTCGCTCCCAACGATTTGTCATTTCTGTGAAGCGATCGCGGAGGCGAAGGGAGACGTCGTCGTCGGAAGTGGCGATTAAGAAGCTCACGGTTTCGGATAGTTGTTGGTGTTTGTCTTTCCAGATGCCTGGCACAATAAATTATTGTTATCATGTCAGAAGTTTTTTTATAGGCTTTGGGAGGCATGAGTTGATGTAAAATTTTGGAAATTTTTCGGTTAAAAATTCAGTTATTGATTAAATGAAGAGGCGGAACACGTATGAAAAAATTCAATAGAAAACCTTGCGAATTCGCTAGAAAATTCTATTGGAATTCTATTGAAAAATTCCATTCATATTCTATTTGTATTCTATTCGTTTTTTGCGTTAATTCTATTGGCTATTCGATAAGAAAAAGTCAATAGATTTCGATTTTCTATTTGAATTTTTCTCTTGAGATTTTTTCTATAAGAATGCTTGGGCATCAATTTTCTTATTATTATTATTATTATTATTATTATTATTATTGTCATTCAAATTACATTTTGCACAGAATTATAATTTTTTTAGGCATCAAATCGATTTTTGGTAAAATTCTGAATATGAAGAAATTTATTACAATTTCGAACAAATGATTGTTATGGTGGAAAATTGATTGTTTATAAATTATTTATAAAAAGTGCTCGTTATTTTCAAAAATTGCAATTTTTTAATTATTTTATCAATTTCCTCCAAAAGTAAACTTTTTAATTTTTTCAGATTTTTTAAATGTTTTCCTACGGTTCAACATCGTGATTCAAATTCAGATCTGCAAAGTTTAATTAATAAAATCATTGTAAAAAGTCTGAAAACTTGGGGTCAAATCAGGCTCAAATGAAAGCACTGATGTTGAACGAAACAAGTAACATAGCATTTCACTCGAGAACACATAGCAAAAGCACTTGGATATCCTTAAGGATGTACCACACCCCTTTCGCCAAAATTCACGTTTTTTGAATTTTTTTGGTAAATTATTGATCGGATTGACGTGAAAAAATATACCGTTTTTACGTTTTATCATTATTGACTGACTCACGAAGTTTCTTGGTAGTGCAATCATTTTCCTGCATTTTTTCTAAAGTTTTGGGGATTTCCGAAAAGTTTTAGAAAAAACGCAGGAAAATGATTGCATGATCATGAAATTTCGTGAGTCATTAAGTAATGATAAACCGCAAAAACGGTATATTTTTTCACGTCAATCCCATCCATAATTTACCAAAAAAATTCAAAAAAACGTGAATTTTAGCGAAAAGGGTGTAATACATCCTTAAGGTCCGCCGCGCGTCGTTTTTCTTTAATCCCAATTGGCTGGCTAACCGAAAAAATTTGACTTTGTCAATTGAAGTGTCCAAAAAATTAAAACAACATATTCCCCAAAATTCCTAAAGAAAACAAATTATTTCCGACAGATGAATTATTTTTTTCCATGTTAAATGAAATTGCCCATGACGCGACGTTGCCGGAAACTCGCTAAACGCACCCGGCCAGTGTAGAGTGAATTCGGCAACGCTAAAGTCTAAATAACACGGCGGCGACCCCCGCGGAGGTGACCAAAGTCACAGGGTCGCATTTGGTAACCAGACTAGGGTAAATGAATCAGTGAATTTAATTTAAAATATATGGTCGTAGAAATTCCATTCGGAAGCAAACTGCTAATTTATTCCCAAAAATATGTTGGCTATGTTGTGACGAAAGCAATTCTCCACCTTTTTGTTTAATGTCGTGTTCAAGGGAGTGAGGTTTCTAAAATCGCTGAACAAGTCTCTTACCTATATCTTGGAAGAACTCCATCTTTTCTTCATCGGGCAACTTGAGCGCTGGTTCGGCGCGAATCAGCCAGGCCTCAAACTCCTGAGAAATCGAGGTCCAGCGGCGCCAATAAGCCACCACCTCCTCCAGCATGCTCTGCACACAACGAAGATCCATGGAGATCTTCTTCCACTTCTCCGAAGTCTCGAACATGAAACGATCAACGTTCTGCGCCTCCTTGCTGTCAATTCCCCCATCGCGCTTGTACTCCTCCACGACTTGTTGCATGTCCAGATAAGCTTTCTGAAATTCCTGGAAAATTCTATTTCGAGAGACAAAATTTCGGTATTGCTCCAGCATTTGATTTACTTGGTCCTCGGTGCCGTATTTAATGCTCCAGGTCTTGAGTTTTGTTTCTACGAGATAGAGGAATGCCACGAGACAGCACTTGTGCTCCAAAAACTTGAGTTTTATTCTGCGCTTGGCTGCGCGATCGGGAAGGCTCTCGAAACGTTGCGCCATATTCTCCAGTTGTGCTGGGGGAATTTGACGAGCAATTTGAGAGGTTTTCGCGCGGTGGAACTTCTCCATCATGGTCGGCAGGTCCAGGAAGAACTTTTTGTGCTCCTCTAATTTTTCGGAGATTATTCCCGCGGTTGTTTCATTCATCTCATCGGGGATGTTGTGGTCTGAAGTTATGAGGGACTCGGCCAGTGCTAGCCAGCGCCCGGTCTCTCCGATTTCTCCTGGCAGGGATGAGTCCAAAAGCCACAGCCATTTTAACAGCAGAAGCTCGAGCTTCTCCCAGAGGATCTGAATGTGCTTCCACGAGTCGCGGGTTATGCTGATGACACTCGCGGTGTCTACCAGGCGGTGAAGCTTCTTGTAGAGAATGGATTTCTCATCCGTTTCGCCACGAACTGCGGCGTAATCCTAGAATTATTAAATTGCAAGTGATATTTTGAGTATTTTTAATATGCTTAATTGATGACTTCACTACTAATTTAGCGGATTGATATCCACAGAAAAATGATTTATTTTAGTCAAATGAAGTTTATTTAAGTCAAATGGATGAGTTTGTTTGAAAATAATTACAAAACAATTACAAAAAGATAAGTACAAAATATTTTTTTTTTTAATTAGGGCCCGGGTGGATCTTTGGAACGTGATCTTGGTTGTTTTTTTTTTTTTTTTTTTTTTTTCATTTTAATAATCAGGAATGATCTCCAATTGCTATTCAGTTTTACATAGCCCTGGAATCTCCAAAAATTATTATTGTACAATCATAAAAAAGTTGAAAGAAACTGAACATTTTTAAAAAGCGTTTTTGAATAATATTAGGGAATAAACCCAATAGGGAGGAAATTGCAAATTAATCATTTGTCACAGTAGTCAGTGGCTGTCAGATCGTTAGTTACCATAATAAATTATCCATTCGCTATTTCCTCTACATCGAACTTATTTCTTAATCTTTATTAAAAACACTCTTTGCAAACGTTCAGGTTTTTTTCTACTTTTTTTGATTGTGCAATCATAATTTTTAGGGACTTCGGCGGTGTTATCCAATGGAAATTGTGATATATTTTACATTATGAAGATGGAAAAACAATCGAGATAACTTTCGAACAATAATCCAACCCGGCCCTAAATAACAATTTTTATTCGAAGGAACAGCCGAAAAACAACTATTTGACGCAATTCAAGCAAAAATTTTTTTTCAACTTTTTTTATTATTGAGAGTACTGATGAAAATAATAATTTTCTATTCGTATTATAGTTCGATTCGTTAAATTAGGCCGATTGCACTTATTTTTTCCTTTTTCCTCCCCTGCGTCTCCCCTTGGGCCTTCGCTGGACTTTGGATTTTGCTGTTTCATTTTCATTTTAATTAATCCAGCCATTGACAAAGTCTTCTCCCGTCAAAACTTCTCAATAATTTTCCATTCTACTGAATGGAAAATTACTATTCTCATCAGTACTCCCAATAATAACAAAAAAGTTGATAAACAAAATTTAATAAAACAAATAGCTAATAAAAAATGTTTTTTGCTTGAAATTACATTTATTGGGGAAATTGGAGGGAAATGAAAGGGGGAAAAATGAGTGCTAGTATGCGTTTTTGGGGAAGAAATGTGCGCGGTAGACATGGTCGTAGGAAAATTGGGGGCAGGGGGCTGTAAATCAAATCCCCCGAATTGAGAAATTCCATGAAACCTTCCACTTACAGAATAACTCGATGGAAACGAGTGAGTTCTGTCAAGCTGCTCAAGCATTCTCGTGCGTTCATTGAGCCAAGTAAGGAGGGCATCATACTCCTGCTGTACAGTAGCAAACGAGTCATTATCGCATGATTTTGGCTCTGGATATTTGTGCAAAAATTGTGCAACATAGGTCATGATAGATTTTTCATCTGGCTGCGGTACATCGACATCCTCAGGATCCAGTAACCGCGCAATACCCAATTTTTCTTCAGCAACATTGAAAGCCGTTTCCAATCGAGCGCGGTTCGTTGCTCCCCGCATCGCCGCTATGTTGACAAGATTTTGTTTGATCGCGTCGATTATTCCCAGGAAAGCATTGCCGTCTCTCCAACTCTCGCCAAAATCACGAACTGTTATTCCCATTTCCCTGGAAAGTCGTCAGTTATTATGTGTCATTTATTTTTGGATGTGAACGAGTGAAAGCTATATTTAGTGGGGAACAAAATAAACATTCTTATGTTGATTTGCGATGGAGAAGGTCGAAAAGGTCAGGTATGTTTGTATGACTGTGATAAAATTTTATCACATGTGCACATATGCGTAGGGCTTATCAGATAGTTTGTGTTGACGATAAAATGCGGTGAAGTCAGACAGTAGTATTAGACATTTTGAAGATGGTAACTGATGTCACTACGAATATATTGACGTTCTGATATGCGTAAAGGGGTGACAATGATGAGGAAATTTAATCACATTGGAAACGTGATTAATTCATTTCTTTATTTAACTTCATTCGTCATCGTATTAAGCATGGGCGCACGTACACAAAAATTTAATAGAAAAACCGGGCGAATTCGTTGGATAAATCTATCGGATTCCTGTTGAACTTTCTATTAGTTTTTGGCTGATTCTATTGAAATGTTCAATAGAAAATGTTCTATAGAATTAGATTTCTCTATACAACTTATTCTATTGAGATATTCTCTATTGATGAGATCGAATTCCAGAAATTCTCACTCTAAAGTGTGTCGTAAAATCTTATTCCGTGAGCATAACAATTAGAACATGATCAAATCATTCATCGTAATACGAAAATTTATCAGCTGATAAATTGGGACATGATTCTCATCGGTTGTATTGGTTTTTGCAGAGAGAATGATTATAAACAATTAATTGAAAAAAAAAAATATCGAATCTGACAGAAAGAAAAATGGCATCAACCCTAGTTGACTCACTTTGGCAATGCATTGGTGACCCACTGAAGTAGAGTCTTCCTGGCTCCCTGTTTCCATTTCTCACTGCTGAGTCGTTTTTTCTCACTAGCCACTGATCCCTGAGTCCCTAAACTCTCCAAACTGCTCTGGCTGCCCCACGTCTGGCCGAGATACTCCAGTGCTCTGGTGTTCTCCTCAATCTGCGGATCATTCAATCAAAATCATCACCTCCCATTTCTAGTTGGCATCCTCCCAGTGATATTCACCACTTCGTTATTATCTCATTTGTTACAGTCAAAAATGAGAGATTGGTGCAACTATCGGCTGATAGGCAACGTCATGCAGTGATCCAATGGCAAGTCGTTATTCATTTTCAGGATTAGGTAAGTACTCACCATTCTTCGATCCTTTGACCGTAGCTTGTTTGTTAGAATAAGTCAGCATTAGGGTTTAGTTATGGTACTTGTGGTTTTGTCAATGTCAGTGCAGTTACCTCCTTCGAATTTAGTTTTTTTTGGTCTTGGTCTCAAGAAAAAGTGGATTTTTGGTACAGAAAATTCCAAGGAGGAATGATAATGGTGCTGCTAAAATCATTTATCAATGATTCTTACGTGATATTTTTTAAGGGGAGGCCCTACTGACGTGAAAATTTGTCAATAGAGAACCTCCATGGATTTTCTTTTATTTTTTATTTCTCCAGTGTCGCCTTTAAGGCCCGGGTGTATTGTGTGTCGAACATGACCTTGGTTCCTTTTTTTATTTTGATAATCTTAAATGATCTTCAATTGCTATCCAGTTTTACATAGCCCTAGAGTCCCCACAAATTATGATTGTGGAATCAAAAAACGTTGAAAAAAAACTTAACATTTTCAATGAGAATTTTTGAGTAATATTCGGATATAAACCCAATAGGGAGAAAATTGCAAATTAACAATTTGATGTATCTAATGGCTGTCAGATCGTTAGTTACCGTGACAAACTATCCATTCACTATTTCCTCTCTATCGGACATATTTCTTAATCTTTATTAAAAACGCTCTTTGAAAATGTTCACTTTTTGTTTACTTTTTTGATTGTACAATCATAATTTTTAGGGACTTCTGCGTGATGCAAAATCAAACGAAAATTGTGATGTATTTTACATTATGAAGATGGAAAAACTATCGAAATAACGTTAGAAAGGTAATCCACACGGGCCTTAAATGATTAATTTTTCATTTATAAGCATCAGAAATATCGCTCATTCAGGAATAGCCATATCCATAAATCATAATTACTGTTAAATTTTGAATCTGTCATTTAGTTGACATCACTATTAAATTTTTAATCATTTTAGTAATCATCAATTTAAATATTCAAATTCTGAACTATTTTATTGATCAATCAATAATTTAGGTAGGAAGATTGCCGATTATTTGGTCAATTGGTAATCTCGTTTAAGAAATTCGAATTATTTACTTAAGGGGAGACTACTCTGAGTTTTAAAAGTCGCGGTCGATTGGAGTGAGATTTCTCATACATTGAAAATCGATTATATATGTCTAAAAACGAATAATTAGTGCGAAAAAAAATATTGTTTATTGTTCGTTTGCCCCGCACACGCGAATAAGTAAAATGTTAAAAATAGTCCAGGGCCTCCATTTTTTGAGCTACAGAGGTTTTTTTTTTTTAATTTTTGAAAAAATGTGTGCAATAATAATTCCGAATTAGTTTTTTGAAATTCCACTCCTACGAGGCTTATTTTGTTTTGTTTAAAATAAAAATTTGCACTATTAATGTAAAATAAGCAGACAAATTATCCTTAAAATATTAAAAATGTATTCTCGATTCTTTCAGAAAGATTTTTCAGGCTATTTTACATGAATAGTGCTATTTTTTATTAGAAAAATTACGAAATTAGCTATGCAGGAGTTGAATGTCAAAAAACTAATTCGTAATTGTTATTGCACATATTTTTTCAAAAATTTTGAAAAAAAAAACCTTTGTAGCTCAAAAATGGAAGGCCCTGGACTATTTTTAACATTTTTAGCGTCTGCGGTACAAACAAACAATAAATAATTCAGTAGTGAAGTGGTAAAACGGTATAAGTCGATTTTGACTATTGACCAGTTTCCAATGAATATCTCGGAATCTAAGGGAGATATCAAATTTTTTATTATAACCTTTTTTGTAGACCCGATTGAGAGCTACAACGAATGTAATTACGAAAATTCCGCTATCTCCCTTAGATTCGAAAATATTCCTCAAAAACTTAACTGGGAGATGAGTCGACTTGAACCGTTTTACCACTTCGCTACTGAATTATTATTTTTTGACTAATTATTCATTTTTAGACACATATAATCGATCTTCAATGTATGAGAAATCGTCTTCCAATAGCCCGCCAAGTTGAAAACTCATAGTAGTCTCCCCTTAATGAAAAATTCACAGATCGATATTATCAAATATTCATTTCATCATCAATCTCAATTTTAAATTATTAATATCATACTATTTTTATATTTTGATGAAAATATTTAAACCTTTATCAATGCAAGTCGCAAATTCCTTCAATATTGATGAAATTTAGTATTAATGGTCATCCCTGCGCTCATTAATGCATTCAATTCTCCACATCTGACGATTTCCTATGGTCACTCAACATTTCATTAAGTGTATCCACGTGTCGAGAAGATCTCATGACGATTATTTAGAAATTGCAGAATTTTTTAACTTCAGAAGGGCCTCCCCTGATTTTTTCTTACTCATAAGCAGCTATTGTCTACCAATCATGAATGCTATCCAGTGCACATTTTGTACGGCTCAAATATTCTCTTGATGATTATTTTTCAATTCAGAAATTCATTATTTTTACCTGGAAGTACAGGATGATGGTCCAAATGAGACCCAGTACGACTGGCGGACGTCCGTCGACTAGATCCGATGAATTTATGTTGACTAATTTAATCTAGAAATCAACGAGAAAAGTTAAATGAGAAAAGTAAAAATGATATTCAGGCATTGGGAAAGGAGATATTACCTTTTTGCTTTGTAAAAACTGTAGTGCAGTGTTGGCGTTGCTGAGGAAGTGGGGTCTTTTCAGGTTTCTGCCCCTTTCCACTGGCTGTAATTAATGGGCATCATCAATTTTGTTACATGAAAATACATGTGCAATTTATGGCTTACAAAAGAAAGAATAAATACACAGACGGAAAGGGAGGATAATTTTCGAAAATTAATGAGGGTCAACGTAAATTTGACGTTTCATTGTCAAGAAAACTAATAGCTTTTTATTGTTGGGCTTCAGTGATTAATTCGCGGAGTTTAGTAAAAAAATTCACTCTGACAAAAATTTAATTGAAAATAATTGATAGGCAGAACATGAGAATCAACTTTTTATTTTTGATATTTACTTATAGTCAATTGAAAAATTTAAATTATCAATCACTTTATTATTCTTCAAATCTCAATGAAGATGAGTAAACCTTAATTATTGTTAGGTGCAACTTATCAATATCAAAGTGCTTCGATTGAAAGACATGTTGATAACTTTAGACCGGAAATTTGTTTGAAAATTTATTTTAGAAAAAAGCGGCGTTCTATTACCCTCGCGAGTGGTATTGCCCTTCTAAGATAAGTATACAATTACGGTAAGTGAGAATTTCCTCTGACTATGATTTTTACTACTTCGCTACCGAAATGTTTCCGTTCGTTAAACGCCCACGACCCTATCCCAAAAGAACAAAATAGATTCCAAATATTTTCTTCCCGATTAGTTTTTTATCTGAAAGTTAAGTCTCGCGTCGATTTTCAGAAAATAAACGCATGACGCGAGAAATAATTGGAGTCCGTTTTGTTAATTTTGGATAAATTTCAAGGTCTCTCGAAGAATCAAAAAGTTTGAGAAAATAAAATCTACCAGTTTCTCTCCAGAAAGAACTTCCAAAAGGGCAAGAAGACGAGTGCCATCTTTCAGGTCGTCGATTAGGTCATCCACTCGTAGAGGTGGAATTCTCTGAAAACAGAGAAATACAAAAAAAAGTAAATAACACGTAGATTTAAAAAACAAATAACGAAATTAGTCCATGGAGGGGCGACTCACAGTCGAATTGAAAATGATTACAAAATTTTTATCGATAATCCAGGATCATAAAATTAATTACGCTGATTACCATTGCTGAAACGACTATCCTGATTACCAAGTGCGCAGAATGTGATCGTATTCAAATGCATACAAGTGATTCCATCGATTACGATAAGTGATTATCGAACATTTTCAATCCTTGAAATTACAAAACAAGTGGGAAATTGTTCCTGTATTGCGTATAGTATAGTTATTTTTGCTAATAAATTAGCAATATGCTTTCGAATGGTCATTTTGCTTATTTTTTTCCATTGTATATTATTCATAGTCTATTTTATTCTCTTGAATTGAATTAATTTCTTTCCGACTAATTGTTGTAGATTTTTCACTTAATGAAATGCTAAAAATTTTCCAAATTTCGATGAAATATTATTAGGAATATTTCATTTATACATAATTGAATGCATTCGAAACATCACATTTAAAGGAACCATCACAAAGCGACCTTTCAGGTCAATTCATGAAAAATTCTAAATTTTCAAAAATTATCCTGAAAATCAGATTAATCGAGGCAGTTATTGTAACCATTTTTTAACTTCATCATAGTCGCATTGAAACAAACATATTAAGCTATGATTGAATTCATTTGAAGCGCAATATCCAGAGATATCTGCGGAATTCTGATTTTCGAAAAATACGAAATTTTTGAAAAATTTCACAGCAATCAAAATAACGATTATTGCTATCGCTTTCATCTTTAAACTTGGTTGAAAGGACATCCCAACGACTTTTTTAAGCTCTCATTCAATGAATTTAGAACATTTTTTTTAGTTATCGTGTTACAACTGAATTTTGAAAACATGCGAAAATTAAAAAAGTGAATAAATGAATTACATTTTAATTAATGGCGACGGATAGGGCTTAGCAATACCTTCAGTTAAGAAAAAAAAATGATTTAATTCCATCGATTCCTTAGCGAGAAATTTACGAAAAACTTTGTCACATACATACACACACATACGGACACGGTCTAAAAAATGCATTGTCGGACTTTTTGGATCATAATGGGTCGATATAACACAAAAAATCCAAAACTTAAACTTGAACCATTACAATGCTTCCATTCGGAAGCAAAATAGTTTCTAATTGAATGATAATTAATTGAATAATCACATTATTAATTAGTAAAACCTGCGAGGAAAATCGATCCTGGGATCTTTTGTTTAGCGTTACACGGAGAGAAATATCCAATAAAAATTACGGAACAATTCACGCAATCCGCAATAGGGAATCGTTTTCCGGCAATTTTTATAGGAATGGAAGAGAAGAAATCTGGAACGTTCAGTGAATTTCCAGGTTCATCACCGAACAAAAGTACGAAATTGTCACGTATTTTTGCCGAAGAAGTAAAATCTTACAGAAACCTCGCGACTTATTCTGCCAACAAAATCAAAAATTCTTGAACGTTCAACAATTTTTATGAAGCTGGTGAGTTATTTCTACGTTCCGTTCCGTAAAATTTCTCAATCGTTGGGGAAAAATTAAGGAACGACTTGTTGTCCCCACAGCGGTGAGTCATCAGACGGGTGGTTAATTTTTACAGAACAAATCGTAGAATTTATGTAGCGATTCGTACAATTTCAGTTCCGACTCACTTTTTATTAGTTAGAGTTTTACTTCGCTTCCGGATTACGTTTCAAAACGTAATTTTTATATTTTTTACTGGTAATTTTTATTGAATTTTTCTCTCCGTGGAAGCGACTATCCTGATTACCAAATGCGCAGAATGTGATCTCATTCAAATGCACACAAATGATTCTATCGATTACAATAAGTGATTACCGAACATTTTGAATCCTTGAAAATGCAAAAAATAATTTCTAATTGAATGATAATTAATTGAGTAATCGAAATATTAACTAGTAAAACCTGCGAGGAAAATTGATCCTGGTATTTTTTGTTCAGCATTACTGCACGCAGGAGAGTGGTGTATTTGAAAAAAAAAATCATGCAAATTCCCTATTACATCTTTGAATAGTCCCTCGGGAAAAACGGTGAATTGCCGAAACTTGTCTTTCTCGTTGCGTATCTATTACCAAATTGAAGTAGACACGGGTACACATTCGGCTAAGCCTTCCTCAAAGGGAAGAGTATTTAGAGGCACGCTATTTTCATGACATGCATGTCACGATAGGAATAAAGTGCTGGGGTATCGCGGGAGGAGGGGAGGGATGGTTAAAGGGAGTTATAGTTTTGAAGGATCCGGAAGTCAAGGGAATCGAGAGCCAGGCACGGGTTATACCCGTAGTTTACAAGTTTTTGGTACAAGCCTTTTTCCCTTTATAACGGATAACCCATAAGCGTCACGTCTTGACGTGACTTCGATCACAATATTACGTGAGTATATGCTAAACTTTTGGAGGGAAGAGGGAAACAAAATTGTGATGAAATTCTGTCGGACTCTGTGGGACTGTTGAATTTTTTTTGGGAATGAATGAAATCATTGAAAAATCTGAAAACTTCAAGTGCAAGATTTTGAAACAGAAAGATCGACATTTCACATTTTTATTCAGAAATAATGTCAAAATTGATATTTATCCCAGTTTTTGTCTCTGTACGCTAGAAAATTCGGCAGATAAAATTCCGTAAACTTTTTATATTAAATATTTTCTATTCAATATCTTCCATTGAAAAAAAAAAGAATGAAAGAAAAATATAATTATTTTTCATAAAGTGAGATAATATTTCAACTGATGAATCTTGCATTACCTTGGAGAGGTAAGAGTTGATCCAATTGACGAAGGTCTTCTTCTGCACTCGTTCCTGTTCATCTGTAAAAATAGAAAATGACACATATTTAATTTTAATACAATGTATTCATTTTATCGCGCAAAAAAATCCGAATAAACTGCAGTCGTCTGGGATCAGGAGAACCGGTTTCCGATAAGATAGAATTCCCGAGAAGTTTATAAGGCTGATAAAAAGCTGATAACACCGGTATTTTTTGTCAACAAGTCTTTATTAAATATCATTAATTCAGGATTAAAGGTAGACATCATCGGCGACAAAAAAATTATTGGAAATTACGCGGTAGATGCTCATTCATTTATTACAAACATCTTTCCGTATAATGCCTTATGACCATTTAGATTCTCTTAATGCATTCTCGATCATTAATTTTTCCCGTTCGCGAGAGCGCTATAAATACGTACAACGCGCAAAAAAGACCCCGCAAACGTTAAAATTAAAATAAATAAAAAATGCATCGAAAATGCGGCGTGCAATTATCCACCGGTTGTGTTTATTTATCCGCGCAACGTCTCTTTGATCGCAGCCGGTCGTAGGCCATTCCTCACATCGGTACTGTATACGAACACGCATATAAATAGCTGTTACGGAACAAATGTATGAGTTTGGTATTGCAATATTTATGGTTGTGATAATTCTTGTCAGATCCTTCAGCGGTATTGTTAAATGTTTTATCTTGTTCTTCGGAATTACTACACACAATGAAGATTCATTTTAATGGGATTTTCAAGTTGAAATGTCTTTCCAAGAAAAAATCATAAAGTTTTGTTGAAAAAATTGAGAACAAGCAGGAATGGGCATCAATCATTAGATTATTAATATTTTCATTGAAATTTGAAGAACAATAAAATAATTAATCATCTAAATTTTTAATTGACCCATATGGAAAAATAAAGATTCTCAGAATTATATATTTTATATAAATATTATACATATTCGAAGAATATATTAAATTAGCATATATTACATGTATTTTTTATATATTTTTGCATGGGGGGACTGTGGATTAAATAATTGACAATTTGGAAGCTGAGCCGATCGACTTGATCCTCGAGCAGAAGGCGAGGATTATAATCACATGAGTCAGATAATACATTTTCTGTACTGCTTCTCACGATTTCTCGTCTGGGAATTGGTATTGCAAACCAAACTCGGAAACTTGAAAATTACTAGAAAAAAATCGTGTCCCAAGCTGCTGCGATGGGTTTTTTTCACTTGTGTGACGTTGGAGTCCGAACCGAAGGCGAGTAAAAAATCCCATCGCAGCAGGCCGGAAAAATACTATTATCGTCGTGTGACATACTAGTATATTTCAGTACGAGTGAGACGGAATTTTCACAGGTGTGAAATTGGCGACTCAAAGCGAAGCCGGGCGCTGCTAATCACATGAACTGAAAGTTGTCGTCTCACATGTGTCGAACTAGTATTTTTCCGGCCTGTTACGATGGGGTTTTTTACTCGTGTGGCGTTGACCTCCGAGCCGTAGGCGAGGAGTGGCCAACCACACGAGTAAAAAAAAACCCCATCGCAACAGCCCAGGAACAATATTTTTCTGTAGTGATTTTCAAGTTTTCGAGTTTGGGAAGTATGTAATACCAATTTCCAGACGAGAAATCGTGAGAAGCAGTACAGAAAAATATTTTTTGATACTGCTGCTGCGTTCATAATGGGACACACGGAGTACGAAAAAAGTACGGGAGTAAAGACTGTTTACTGCGCATTCACCAAGCGCAGAGAGATATACGCATAGCACTCACGCACGCTTGGAGTGCTCAGAGTGGGGGAACACCCTCCCCGCTGTCGCTAATCACTGAGAAGTTGGAGAGTAGAGAAGTTAGGGAAACTCTACTACACTGAGAAGAAAATGTTTCAAAAATTAGTGTGCTACTCATCAATGCTGGGACATAACAGGGGGTCATCGAAAAATTCGAATGTGGCAGCCCAATTTTTAGAGGGACTTGCGCCACTACTTCGCGCGATGCCCGTAAAACTTAGGGTGCCACATACGAATTTTCTGGTGACCCCCTGTTATGTCCCAGCATTAGTGAGTAGCACACTAATTTTTGGAGGGACTTTCACGGAATTATGGTGTATTTTTCTCTCCGTGTATATACAATTTTAAAACACGTGCTTGGAAGAGTCCCTTTTCGTTTACAGATTTTTGTGCATAAAGTCGAACTTTTGCTAACTTTTACGATAGTAAATGAAAAGTGACTTTTCATAAAGAATTGAATCCTCTCATAATTTCCATTCTCCTCGTCAAATCCTAAAAATCGCAAATCCCTGTCGAGCACTATTCATTAAGAAAACTCGCATTTCTCTGCATCCCACTAAAATCCAAAAACTTAGCAGTTATCATCGAATCCCTGAATATTGTCTCTCCGATCGCGTGTGCATTACCGCCTTGTATCTCTCCCTCTGCCCATTCTGATTTTTAGTGAAAGACCGAAGTAAAAGGGAGAAAAAATGTTTCACAAAGGAAGGACACCAGTACTGGCCGTGCCATGCCGCGCGGAAAGACAGCTCGAATAATCCGAGAGTTTTGTACATGATATATATTCGCCGGGTGGATCTTCCTGTACAGCACGACACAGCGGTGCAGTCGTTACGGATATTCGTAACTTTAATTCCGATGGTTTCGCAGTATTTCAGGGGAGAAAAAAAACTCATCGATATCTCGTGATTGTTGCCGGTTCCGCGGCCGAATAAGTTAAAGAAAGTTCCGTATGAATAGAGGAGTTGGAAATTTATAAAACGAATCATAGACCTTTTTGCTTCCAGGTGCACTGATAGAACGGATTTGTTATTGTTAACGAATGGATTTTGGTTGGAGGTTAGGGTCTATTCGGTCTCATCAAATGTTCATTCGTTAATAGTTATAGAATGTATATTTGAGGAGCCTTGTTTGACTTGACTTTCGCCAGTGAACCATTCGTTAACTATTAACGAATATTCATTTGGTCATATTCAACTCTACCATTCGTTAATAGTTAACGAATCTTGTTTGGAATAAATGAATCATTCTATCAGTGTGGTAGTAAATATCTGCAATTTTTGCTGCTAGTTAGTGTTGTAAAGCTATAAACATTTTTAATATTGCAAACCATTCGGAAACCCGCCATCAGTGGGGGGGAAAATTGATGGGGAAAAAAATAAGACATTACTCAGTGACATGCTCACTGTCATATGCAGTTCTCGAAACGGTTTAGTGTGCGTAAAAAGCGGTTGTTTTCCGTATCGCGTGCGTCAAGCTCGCAATACGGAGAAAAATTCAATAAAAATTACCAGAAAAAAACGTAAAAATTACGTTTCGAAACATAATCCGGGAGCGAAGTAAAATTCAATAAAAAGGGTGAGCCGGAACTGAAATTGTACGAATCGCCACGTAAATTCTACGATTTGTTCCGTAAAAATTAATCACCCGTCTAATGACTCACCGCTGAGACCACAAGTCGTTCCATAATTTTTCCCCAACGATTGAGAAATTTTACGGAACGGAACGTAGAAATAACTCACCAGCTTCATAATAGTATATTTCGTAACGAGTGCAAAAAAGTGTTTTTTGGCGAGTGGGAGGTTTATATAATCCCACGAGTTAAAAAATATTTTTTCATCACGCTGTGACGAAAAGTGAACTTTTCGGCACGTTCCGCGTCCCTAAAAGTCCAATTTCCGCCACATTGTGATGAAAAATAATGTTCGTAACTCGTGAAAAAACACTCGCCAAAAAACACGAGCTAAAAAATATTTTTTTGCACTCGTTACGAAATATACTATTTCACGAGTTACGAACAATATTTTTCATCACAATGTGGCGGAAATTGGACTTTTAGGCACGCGGAGCGTGCCGAAAAGTTCACTTTTCGTCACAGCGTGATGAAAAAATTGTTGAACGTTCAAGAATTTTTGATTTTGGAGGCATAATAAGACGGGAAGTTTCTGTAAGATGTTTTGGTACTACGTGCCTCAAAAGTTCACTTTTCGAAACCGTTTAGTGTGTGTAAAGCTTCGTTTTACGCACTCGAAATTCACTTTACACACGACCTTGAACTTTATGCACACCGTGCACAAAAGCAACCACTTTACTCCCACTGCGGTTCCGAACAGTGAACTCGGCAGGTATTACAAAAAATAGGATGTGTTACGCGTGCGTGCGAAAAAGTGGTTCTTTACGCACTTGTAACACACGGAGAGAAATTTTCTGGAAAAATTCTAGTACGAGTACTGGAAAAAATCACAATCCACCGACTGTGAAAAATTCTAGTGCTGTTAAGGTAAAATTTCTTGGTATTTTTGTAAAATATCTGGGGATTTCTGTGAAATTTTCACAGAAATACGGGGAAAAATTCACGTTTTCCCCAATAAAATTTCTAGTGCCGGCACTGGAATTTTTTCCTGGCCGTCACTTTGCGCCTCTTTTCCCATGCTAGCACTAGAATTTTTGTAAATAATTTCTCTCTGTGCACAATATACTATATTTCTTTCGTACTTTCGTAGTTTGTTCGGTGATGAACCTGAAAATTCACTGAACGCTCCAGATTTCTCCTCTTCTATTCCTATAAAAATTGCCGGAATACGATTCCCCATTGTGGATTACGTGAGTTGTTTCGTAATTTTTACTGAATATTTCTCACCGTGAAGTGTGCATAAAGCTTAGCTTCACGCACTCAAAATTGATCGTGAGATTGATTGCATCGTCTGTTGTTGAAGAAATTTATTTTGAAATAAATACTCAGAGTAAGGTAAAAAATATTGCCGTTGGGCGATATCAGCGGTTGGGTCAATCTTGCTAATTTATTAACAAAAATATATTGACTATGTTGTAACGAAAATAATTTCCCATTTGTTTCGTAACTATCACCGTTCAACGCTCGCTCCAAAATAACATACGACTGTGCGAAAAATCCTGCCCTTCCTTTCCCTTTTTACAGTGAAACGGATGATTGGACTGATGAACTCATTCGAGCATCACCGCTATCAACGATGAACAAATGAAACGGGTGTGAAACAACTCACACGTGGT